ATCCGCTTCAGAACCTTGACAGCCAGGGAGCGTTCTTGCTCCAGATCTTCCTCGGTTTCCAGTTCAGACTCGACTTGTTCCAAGTACCAGACGAGAAGTTCTTCCTGTTCAACACCTTCACCAGACATCGACTCGTCATCGCGCACACGTCGTACAAGCAAGTTCAAGATCTTCATGTATTTGTCATAAGTGATCTTGGTACGTGTGCGAGGCGGCTGGGTCTGTTGTGCCGGCTCGCCTTCATCACGCATGGGGCTGTCGCCTTCGCGATCACGGTCACCCATTTCATGATCTTCATCGGCAGCGTGACCGCTAGCAGCGTTGACTTCATCATCAACTTCAACATCATCTTTCTCGACAGTCACCATGCTTTGCCGCAGAAGGTCGTAGGCTTCACGCACAAAGCTGGGGATAATCTCCTCTACACAGTTGGCCTTTGCAACGGCCTCGGAAAGACGGATGAGAGACTCAAGCTGTCGAACCGTGATACGGTAAGAGGAGCGGCCCATGCCACCTTGGGCATCGCCGGCCCGAAGTTCCTTGTACTTCTCGACCAAATAGGCCTTAGCCTCCTCCGTGAACACGGGTCTGAATGTTCTTGCGAATCGGATGTAACGCAGTAATTGCTCAGTGCTGAGCTCCGGATTGACTGCTTCATCGCGGTTCATGTGCACGTTAACAATGTGGTCCGCAAGGTTGCGATCCACTGTTTCATTAGGGTCGTCTCGGACCACGAAGAATAGATCGAATCTGCTCATAATGGGAGCACTAAAGTTCAGGTTGCCACGCAATGTAGTCTTCGGGTTGTAACGGCCACCAATAGGGTTTGCCGCCGCGAGAATCGACGCACGGGCGTTGAGGGTAGTATGAATACCAGCCTTGGCGATAGAAATCGTCTGTTGCTCCATAGCTTCGTGGATCGCAACTTGGTCGCCAAGGTCCATTTTATCAAATTCATCAATACAGCAGATACCTCCTCCATTCTGTTCAGAGAGAGGGTCAGTTCTGTGATTACTCGGCACAGTGATAGTATGGATCACATACAGCTAACATCAGAGCTCCCGCTTCGATGGTGAACTCGCCCGTCTCGGCATCCTTGACAACAGCCGCAGTTAAACCCGCTGCAGAGGAGGCTTTGCCACTGGTATAAACAGCCCGAGGATGTAAAGAACACACATACCTGGATAAGAATGTATCAGTATCACCATCTAGGAACCACCGGAGGTTCGAATTACTTACTTCAGGAATTGACTTTTGCTGGTTGACGGGTCACCAACAATGCAGATGTTGATATCACCACGGAGTTGTAGATTCTCTTGTTCGGTATTCTTGCTGACTCCTCCAATTAGTTGTAGCAATATGCCCTTCTTGATTTGCCGGTGACCGTAGATCATGGGAGCAATGGAGTCAATCAGCCGCGCGTAGATATACTCCGAATGCACGAGTTTCTTCAAGTCTTGAACTTCGTAGGGCGTAAGACTTTGAAGCAAAGCCTCCTGCGCCTGATCTTCATCAGTCTCAGGATCCGAGATCTGGTTGAGCGAAGCCAGAATATTGTGTGACTGGCCATTCAACTGCTGTTTCGTCTGTTGACCGGGAGTCGTTGTATCAGGCGTCACCATACAAGCAAGGAACGCGAGTCGATAGGTGAGGTCTCTGATACCAAGAGCTTTCAGACCACTCACACCGCCACCACCAATGTCACTTCCCCGGAAGGCACCATCATCACGGACAGCTTCCGGTCGCACCCCTGGCAAACCCAGCTGGCTCACATCTGGCACCACAATCAGTGTACCAGTGAAGATGCACCGCTCACCGGCCTTAGCACGATCCACCATCTCACCTCGCAGAATAATGTCCATTGTCCGCGGCATGCTGCCAGTTGGGATTTCATGAGACGACTCCTGCAATTTGACCTTCTGCCAATCAACAAAAGTACTCTTGCCAATATCCAGCCGCCATGCGGTGCGGTTCCCGCAGGTGTCGTTGGGGCATTGCGCGGGCTCAGTGTAGCGGAAAGTCTGTTCCACGTTGGGACACACTGCCTTACACAGTTCACAAGTGAAAGTACCGAGAGATAGCTCGGGTCGGATCTCAGAGGTACGCGTGACTGTGCCGGATACAGAGACTAGCTTTCCAATCTGAGACGTCCGAAGTTGGCGCAGCCGGGACACCAGGGGTAGGTTATAGAACGCCAGCGAGAATAGCCTATCGGTCTGCTGGTGCCTAGTCTTCTCGCGGATATCACGCTCCAAGTCGGGATTATCCGACACGCTTGAGTTGCCCGCAACCATAGAGGTACCTGCTTGCGAAGAGATGCTGCTAGTGGCGGTGGCCTGGCGATGCGCAGCATAGTATTCCGGTTCATACTTAGCGATCAGGTTGTTCAGGGCCTTGGTGAGAAAGGGTTGGAACCGATAATATTGGTTGGCAATCGCGTCTGCCAGGATCGGGTTGCTTAGGGAGGTCAGGTGCGTAAAATCCACATAGAGCGTCGAAAGCTCGAATTTGGCCATGCCTCGGATTTGTGCAATGTAGTACTTGTCGCTCAAGATTTCCGCAGACGGCGGGGGAGGCTGTGAGAGTGAAGGCTCCTCCACGTATGTCTCAAGCAGTTCCTCGAACGCTTGTTGCACTTTCTCTCCAGCAACATCGGTCACTGGGGGAGGAGGGGGCAGATATGGATTGCGGAGTCGGCCTACGGTCGAGACGTTGGAGTCTGCTCCTTGCTCGTCTGGATAGCCGTGCATATCGCTCATCGGTCCATTGCTTTCTGAAGGTGGCTGCGGTCGTGAGCTGGGGATTTGATCCGAATGAAGACGGCGAGAGCCCGCCGTCGAGCCCAATTCCGACTGCAGGACGGCATCAAAGAGGGAGGACATGGCGCAGGGCGGATGGCCAGGGTAAGGCCGTTGGATGTATGTGGTAGGAATTCTTTCAACTAAGACAAATGTGAGATATTACAACACTCGGCGAGCTAGTGCTATCTCAGATAAGTGTCCAACTTGCTGCCAGTCAATCAGAAGGGCCAGCCTTGAGGGAGGGTGGGTGCGTTGGCCAGAAGTTGAAGGATGTGGATGGAATGAATGTGTTTGGCACTTTTGCTTTGCATTGGCATTTTTCCGTCGAGCTTTGCATGGGACGCGACCGCAACACGAACGCGTCGGAACCATGTTGCTCCGGCTATCGACGCGTTAAGTGGTTTTTGAATGCTTAGTCAGTTGCTTGGTGGGGATTCCCATTCCTTTGGGAATGCCAAGGTGTTACCGTAGCTGAGAATTAGGGCTAGCCATTTCCAGGCAGAGGTAACTAAACTTACGGACGGACCGGAGTGGACTCGGGACCCCTAGACGGGCTCGTCCTCTACTCCGTAGAGTCACGATCACGGTTAAGAAGGCTTTTTTCTTTTTTGGACGTTCGTGGTGGTATGGGCCGTATCATAGCAAGGGCAATTACCCACTGCAGGGCATGTTGCAGATGTGATTTGACACTTCAGCAAAAACCCTCTCCTATTCGAGGAGAGCGGAACGGTCCGATGATCAATAGCAAAATGGAGCACTGGGTTCTGCAACCGCCACTGCTGCTGCGGTGATTGACTCAGTTGGCCCTCCGCACCGGTCCGGTTTGGGCGACTCCATAAATGGGGATTGACAGCTGAGCTTTCAGATGGGATAGGGCAAACATGGTAAAGAGGATTAAGGAGATCCTCAGTTCACATGTATATAGAGAGTTCTACTCTGCTCGTAGCAATGACGCGTAAGGTATCTCTTTGTGAGGTGGCTTGATGATATCCGCGGATAAAGAGCATATCCACCTTCGGCATACTACAGACAATTATCATAGTGCTCCATCGATATTGCCTGGGAGTACGACCTTGGACTCGTGACGGCCAGACTACTTGACGTCATTGTTCGCATTCTACCTGCGATCTTGCCAGAGGGTCCTCTTCTGAGTGGTTCAGACTAAGCCCGTCTAGCCATGCACCTACAGCAGCCACGGACAGCGTACGCCAGCAATACGAAGTAACACACGCACCTTTCTCCAAGCTACTGCGACAGCGAAAGCCCTCCAAAGTCTCTTCTGTCTCTTTGTTGTGGCCGGATGGCCTTATTTCGTCATGATCTTACGACCCAAACTGGGCCAACCACTGAACGAACGTTATGATCCCATTCTTCCTGTTTTGGTCAATGATGGTAGTCATTTAGGAGGGAGTCTAAGGGCATATAACCGATGCATACGGACAGATTGAATGGGAGGGTTTTCAGCTAGAAAGCACCCCCAACTATGCACCACTCTATCATTATGCACGCTGTGCCTCGCCTCGCGGTTGACCTACCAGATATGGCCGGTAGATTTCCCAAAGGCCTTTTGCCTCTTTTGGAGCAAGATGGCCCGAGCTGGAGGGTCTGAGAGCCTGCAAGATAGGCGCGATTCGGAGTGGGGGAAAGAGTTTGAACTTTGAAGAGAGCCAACAAGAGGAAAAAGCCACCGGGGAGCTCCCCGAGTGTCCCAACAATCCGCACCAAGCGGGATCCTTCCCGTCTGAATCATTATTGACTTATTGTTTTATTGTTGATGATAGGTGGTCTAACCAGCCAGGGTAGTAGGTGGGTTCCAGCGAGTTGTTCTTCCCCACATCCAATCATACCAGATTGACGGGTAGGATTCCTTTTCCGGCCAACCTCAATCATTGACGACCCAATGGCAGAGATCAATCCGTGTAGAATGTTAGGTAGATAGGTCAGATACGGATAGGCAGTATCCGTACCCCGTAGCTAGTAAGGCAAGGTAAGACTGTATACCTAATATGGAAATGAAAAGCTGAGGGGAGGATGAGAATACATACCTACTCAGTAAAGTACGGATTATCATGGATACAATACAGATTACGGAGTAGCCTAAGAGGGAGGTCGTGGGGCCCTTTTGCGGCGGCGGCGGTGGTGGAGGTGGAGGGTGTTCTAAGGTTGGTGTCTAACTAGGTGATTAATGAATTCTTCCACAAGTAGTGAGTTGAGTTGGTGAGTTGGTGAGTGAGTGGTGACCGAGTGGTAAGTCAGTGAGCACTGGCCGCTTCCTCCGACGACTCCCAATTCCACCTTCAAGCTGAGTTCTTTCTCTCTCTCCGTTCCTCATGTTGAATCTCTTCTTCTTTCCTCCCTCTCTTCTTTCCACCACAATCCACACTTCCTCCCACACCCTCTCCATCCCTCCCTCCACAACCTCTCCCCTTCGACCACATCCCATCAATTCCCCTGCTTCCATAAGTTGCCTCCAAAGCCCCAGCCCGGATACACAATTCGGCTCTTTTCCCTCCTCGTGGCCTGACAAGCTATATACCCACTTTTCTCATAGCCTTGTAGGCAATGACCTTTCTTTTCACGGCCTGCAACAATTCTTCTCCTGTTCGACATGCGTTGTTAACATATACTTTTTCTTCCTCTTATTTCCACTTCTTACCTTTACTTGCTGAATAACAGCAAGTGCTGGCATGGTTACCTGTTTCTGGCAACTGGCGCGCACACATTCAATGACCACTTCTACAAATCACACTGGACCTGTCCTGGAGGCAGAGGATCCTTCTCAATCAGCACAACAACGTTGGTCTTTTTGATGTCTTTTCTCCCTTTGCTGGCGCGGGTGTGCCGTGCACCTCCCGACTGACCAAGAGCTCACTCCTTTTCTTTTGACAGAAGCGTCCAACCCTACCCCTCGAGTTCCTGTTAGCACCGACGCTAGCATCGGCCAACAAAGTCATACACCTGGACTTCAGGTCCAGTCTTCCGCAATGCAGACAACTTACTTGTTCGTCGATAAAAACCTCAGCCCCCGTGCACGAAGGTCGCACGTCATGCGCCAACATAATCAAAAAAGATATCTCCAGCGAATGACTACCCAGCCCTATAATCATAATGTAAGCTCCGTAACAACCTGCATAAGCTGGCGGGCTGTATTACCTGCTTTTGACGCTGTGACTCGAATGCTTTTCCCTACCAGTCATAGCCTAGCTGGACACGCGGCTCGTAATGATTACTCATTGTGCTGACACTCCCTTTGATACATAGCACTCAGCCAGACCTCCTGTACCAACACCAACCTCACCTCGCGCAGGTGATTCTTGGTCTCCTCCGTCGCCCACTACGATTCTGGACTCGTCGAGGAAAGATCCTTTTGACAGTTTGCCAACTGTCACCTCTGTAGCCGACCAAGAGCTGGCGGATGCATGGGTGCGCAAGTTAAGTTATTGGTCAGGACAGAACCAGTACATCAAGCGCCAAATTTATAAAGCAGCCATAGCCCATCCAGTGTGTTTTCAAGCGATCATTCTTACTTATTGCGCTCGCTGGCGGGCCCGACTGTATGGTCTCGAATCCAGCCCTGAAGCCGAACATCATCTAATCAGGGCCTCCACGATGATCCAAAAGGCAAGAGAGGAACAGAGCGATGATTCCCTTGCCATGGCCCTTGCCGGAATGTCTCTCCATGAGAATCGCTTCGGTGATAATGAGTCCGCTGCTATAGAGTACGAAGACCAGGCACTTGGACTTCTGCGCATGGGCCCTCGGCAGGATTCTATGGGCATTGCTGAAGTGTTCCTGCATTACGTGCAGTATTTGAAGATGCCCCGAGAATTCTCGTTGGGCGATAGTGACAGACTGTTGCTAGTCCATTTTCTTCGAGGTGCGAAAGAATTGAAGCTCAAACACAGCACAGCTGCATACTTGACCTCGGTGCCTCAGAGGCGTACGGCGTTTCAGATGGCCAGTCCGCTCTTCTGCTCACTTTGTCCTGGGCCTTGGCCATCCACCGTTCCACAGGACTTGCACAAATATGTCGTGAACTTGAATATTCCCAGTCATGAGGTTAGCCGCACCGCGTGTTTGATACACATCACAAGCGCATTGTGGGATTACCAATATGAACCCGACAAAACTCGTCAATTCCTTGCTCACCTCAATGAGCTTGTCGCGCAGTATAAGCTCGATAGAAACCCCGCATGTGAAACATTCGTATGGCTCCTTCTTGAGGAACGATGTAGCCCGAGGTTACGAGACTCAGAGCGGGCGTGGCGGATGGGAGAGCTTTTGAAGATGATCAAAAAACTACCACCTGATTTACGAGTTGAGTACGGCAATATTCTTTTCAGCTTTCTCATGCTCGAGAGTCCTGCTTTAGAAGTTGGGGAGTTTGAAAGAAGACTACTCGCTCTCTGAATGCTGAGATTTTTCACTCCAACTTGTTTCTTAGGTCTTCTGTAACGCTGGGGCGGAGATGTACTGTTGGTATACCGGTGTTAACTGCTGGGCTTGTTTGGGTACATTTTGGCGAGTGCATTTCTTTGGATCGATACATTGACTATGTTCACTAAGTAGCACATACTGTCCTGCCATGGATGGCCTCGCCCCAGTGCAGCTTTCCCCAACCCCAAGGATTGATTGAATACCGCGCAGGGATATAGGCATTTAGAAGGATCGCCTATGACGTAGTGCTGGAGTCTAAATTCGCGTTGCCTGTCAGACTGTCAGACCAATAGAGTGGGAGAACATGGGATATTGCACCCCCAATGTCCGGTTCAAAACGCCACGTCCGGGTACCGTCTACCCAATTACTTCCTCCTTGACAGATTAGGGTTTTATTCTCAATTATGGTCACCTTTCTTATATAATATCCGTTCTTAGCGAATTCAAATACTAGGGAGAGGAATGTCCAGCTATAATCGCAACTACTTGTTATCACATAAGTCAAAGTATATAACCATATAAATACTCCAGATTGATTGCAAGTTGCTGGGAGGATATACCTGAGTAGGAAGGCGGAACAGGAGCCGGATGCACTCCCGAGAAGGGGGTCGCATATTCATGTCAAGTTGTCAAGTGACTGTAAGCTAGATTCCGAACCAGACTGCCGGACCACCACCGCCAATGGCTCATTGTCTCGTCTCGTATTCTCGGCAATAGACCAGTGCCAGGTGGTCCTTACTGATCCCCTCTTATCTCTTCTATTGCTAACATTGTAGAACACACAACCACATGGTACTATGTCCGCGAGTTGGTCTGAGCGAATCGGCAATGTTCGGAGTAAACTTTTGCTTGTTGGACAAAGATCCCTGCTGCAACTACCCGTCGCGCGGTTCCGCGAGAGCAGAAATCCTGGAAAGTCACGCTTAGACCTTGATTGCAATATAACCTAGTCGAACTGACGAATTGGATCGAGATTCCTGCCCGGGCTGACTTTGAGCGTGGGGTTTCCCGTCTTATTTTTTTTCATCTCGCAAGATCCAAGGACGAAGTTGTTGTCCGCTGTCGCATCCCAGCTCTCGGAGTCGGACCCCTACTTATGTATGTTGGGAGTGTGGGACGACGAGTCGATCCCTGTGATTGTTCTTGATCCTATCGCATATACATGAGCAATCGCCGAGGGCGAGTTCATAATCATATAACCCAGGGCGTGGCCTTTAAAGGCTGGCGCAAGGCACTCGCTGGTGACTTGGTAGTAGTTACTGGTCACGGGTAGAGACAGCGCTGGGCTGTACAGTACTCGAAATTATGCGCAGCAGGGCTACGAGGGACCGTTTAGCGCGACCATACAACAGCAAGCAAGGCCTGGGTCTCGCATGGATCAATGAAGCGGGCGAAGTGTGAAAACTAAAAGCAGAACAATCCCCGACAGCGAGGTCCAGGTGGATGGACGAGCACTTTTCGACCTTTGACTTGAGGATAATCTTGGCACCAGATTTCGCCCTCCATTAATTAGGTTACTCCAGGCAACATCGAAGGACAACTGCAGCCACTACCAGCGAGGTTGGTTCAAAAGCCCACAAGAACAAATCCGGAAATGGGAGGAAACAATCAAGAATTGACGGAGAAGATGGCACAAGAAAAACCCTACAATTCCGCGTGACATCTGCCATGGAGAATAAAAAAAAAGGTATCGCCACATGTCCCACTCTCGTCCGTGCATTATCTAGGCCCGTCGGAGGAAGTCTGTTGTTGGAACTTGTTCACAGCTTTGAACAACTTGCGCAGGCCAAGATGCGCTACTAAACAGGAAAAGCTGGCGGTCTAGCTCTGTCTTTCGTCTTCTGTGTGCGACATTACAAGCGGGGCCCGTCGAGGCCTAGATTTGAGCGATAAAGATCCTAGCAATCTTGCTTGAGTTTAGGATCTGTTTGACTGGTGACAAGAAATGTCGGAGGTTGGAGGCCCAAGCACGGCAGCTGAAAGTCTGATCAAATTGATGGCACTACTGATATCATTTGAGCCGGGAAGGTAATCTACCCATCATGGTGGGCCTGTTCTTGACAGTTGACATCGACATTATCTCGACGGACACGTTGTCCCTGCTAGCACGGGAGCAGTCCCAGCTAGCATTGACCAGGATTGACAGGATGTGCGTTGGTGGTGGCGAGATCGAGTAAATGGGGAAATGGGGGGGTTGGCATTTGTTGCCGTCCCCGGCCTGCTGCTCATCATGCTTAATTCATAGAGCTTTCCTCCCCGAGTCCGATCGTATCATCATAGGATCATATCGAGGACGGACGGGCTGGATCATAGACTCGAACTTTTTCACTCCTCGATCGGATGAAACAAACGGTCTGTGTCAGGCGCACGGCAGAACTGTGGCTGAAGAGCTGCTTGATGTTGCTACGGAGTACCTCCTTACAAACCCCCCCCCGCTTCCAGCACTCACTCACTTGTGGAATTTGACTATAGCAATAGGGCTAACGTGGTAGTGCGAGCTCATCGCATGGTACGGAGTACAGACGGAATTATTTGTCGTGAGAAGTCCGCACCATGTCACAGCACGCAGTGCATGTGCACTCTATAGCGTGGCTCACCAGCCACAAGGAGGGCGGTGCAGATGGGGAGCTACGAGGGGACTGAATACCATATCGAGTCTAGCTGGCATTCTAGTACCAGACCAGCGATCGGAATTCTTGACCCAAAGTTGCAGATGGTTCGCCACCATGGTTCCATCTGTTCCATCTTCCATTCTCGGACCCCCCCCCCCCTTTTTTGTTTTTGCGGTTTTTGGGTTCTTCTTTGGCTTTGTACTCGGGATTCACGGATTCAGTGACTGGTTCAATTTACTTTTCGCGCCTAAGTCATCCAACCCAGGTTACCCAACAATCAAACGAGACACGCTAGACCAGCTAACACCGCACCAGGCGGCACGCTAGGGGCGATCTATTGGAACAACTCATCCACTTGCCTCGGAATTCTTTTTCTTGTGACAAGAGGAGGAGGGGTCGCTCAATCTGTTTGCGGTGTTGTGTTCTGCAGCCCAGCCTGGAGGTGGGTAGCCACAGTGCTGGGTGCAACCCTTTTCGCAACTCGCACCTCGCAACAGTTACGAATCGCATCACCGCTGCTCCGTATTTGACATCGGGTGATTCTTCAACTGCGCTCTTGGCTTGGTCTCATCATGACGAGGTGTGGCTGAACGAGCTGAAAGGCTGGAGATGATCGGCGTTCGCCACTACGTGTACTACACAGTAACTTACTATGCAGTAGTTTGCTCAGGACCCAAAGTCAAATTCCCCTTGGATACCCCAGCGGCCAGCGTCATCGACTTTCGGTGATCCATGTCTGCGCGATCGCTGGTTGTGCTCCTCACTCGCTTTCGCCATCTCGGTGGAGAGAGACAATCACAGCGCCTGCTAAAGCTAGTTTAATCTGCAGCTTCATGATCCTATCTTTTCACTTTTGGCCCACCGAATGCCTTAGAGGCCTCGTCGTTGACTATACTACTCTTAACAAACTAACTATTAGTTAACCACCTCTACGGTCGGCGGTACCGAAATCTGTGCGCGAGAACTAAGTAAATTCTTCATTCCTAGGGAACCAATTGGAATGCGTTTAGCTTTGCTACTACTGAGTAACAGCTTGTTCATTGATTGTTATTTTTTGTTTTTCCTTACGTCGAAACTCGAATGATTCGACTTGAGCGGGGAAAGAGAAAAAATTTCAGCGCAAAAAAGCGTGTGTTGAAGTGGCTCCCCCTATCGCTAAGCTTCGGGTTCCTTGAGTCTATCTCATTTTACTTTGTCCCCTCCTTCAAACAAATACTGTTGGCCCTCCCCCTCCCCCAATCTTCCTTCTTTTCATCATCTCTTCCCTCGCTTTCATCCCATCTCAATTTGCGACCCATCTCTATTCGTGGTCGTTTCAATCTATCAAGCGAAGAAGACCCTGTGTTAGCCTACTTCCAACCCTCTGTACACGCGGCCTTCCACTGTCGGCTCTGATTGCGATCGCCCCACTGCGCGCGCTCTAATAGGGGGGCATCATGGCCATAACCGATGCAGGCCTCTTAGGCCTCCGTCATTTAGGCGGGCGAGTATGTTTTCTCGAACTTCGCGATATCGCGTATCGCATTTCCTACGTTGAGAATGAACGTGGTTAACCTCCTTCCAGAGCACCGATAACCCTCAAGATGCCTCTAATTCGGCTTCGGGCCTGGTCACCACCTTGGTTCCATCCTTGGCGGCGGCCGTCGCCATGGTCTCCATCTTCATCATTCTGCGTCGCCGTGAGCGTCGAATGTATATGCCGCGAACCTATGTAGGCGTCTTGCGACCCTCAGAACGGACACCTGCGTCGCCGACCGGACTGTGGAACTGGATCAAACACATGTACCAATTACCCGACGAATACGTTTTGCAACACCACTCGATGGATGCATACCTCTTACTCCGGTTCTTGAAGACTGTTTCCATGATCTGCTTCGTGGGCTGCTGTATTACGTTTCCCATTTTGCTGCCGGTCAACGGAACCGGCGGTGCTGGAAAGAAGCAGCTAGATCTCCTGAGCATGTCGAACGTCGCCTCGAACAACTATGGACGTTACTTTGCGCATTGCTTTGTCGCATGGATTTTCATCGGTGAGTTCAGCACGAGCATACGCCCGATACCCCAGCGATTTTTTCTAACTTCAAATCTGCCTAGGTTTTGTGTTTTTCACAATCACCCGCGAGAGTATCTTCTATATCAACTTGCGCCAGGCCTACGCTCTTTCTCCCGCTTACGCCAGTCGCTTGTCTTCGCGTACCGTGCTGTTTTCCGCCGTCACGCAAGACTACCTTGATCGCGACAAGATTCGTCGGATGTTCGGCGTCAACAAGGTCAAGAATGTCTGGTTGACAACCGATACCAGCGAATTGGAAGAAAAGGTTTCTGCGCGCGACGACGCGGCGATGAAGCTAGAGGGTGCGGAAACGAAGTTGATTAAGCTGGCAAATGCTGCTCGTCTCAAGGCCCTCAAGAAGCAAGGGAACGTGGAAGATGGTCCCATCTCTGGAGATGCTGCGGGCGAGGAGTCGGACGGAGAATCTGGCTCTATCGCGGCTCGCTGGGTCAAGCCTTCGGACCGTCCTACTCACCGGCTCAAGCTTCTCATCGGTAAGAAAGTGGACACGATCAACTGGGCAAGAGCGGAGATCGAGCGTCTCACGCCCGAAATCGAGGAGCTTCAGGCCAAGCATCGCGCGGGCGAAGCGAAATTGGTTTCTTCGGTGTTCGTCGAATTCTACGCCCAGGCAGACGCCCAGGCGGCTTTCCAGTCCGGTACGCGCATTTTCTCGTTCTAGATTGTGTCTGTGGACGCTAACATGTATCTGCAGTGGCCCACAACCTCCCCTTGCATATGGCACCTCGCTACATTGGCCTCGACCCGACCCAGGTCATCTGGTCGAACTTGCGTATCAAGTGGTGGGAGCGTATCATGCGGTATGCCGCAACCATCGCTTTTGTCTGCGTCATGATCGTCTTCTGGGCCATTCCGACCGCGGTCGTCGGCTCAATCTCGAATATCAACTTCCTTACCAGCAAAGTTCCCTTCTTGAAGTTCATCAATGACGTCCCGAGCTGGATCCAGGGTGTTATCACCTCTTTGCTACCCACCGTCTTGATGTCCATTCTCATGGCGCTTGTTCCTATCATCCTCCGCCTGATGGCCAAACTCGGTGGTGCGCCCAGCTTGGCCGCCGTGGAATTGACCACCCAGAACTTTTACTTTGCATTCCAGGTTGTCCAAGTGTTCCTGGTGGTCACTCTTGCATCATCTGCCTCAGCTGTTGTCACCAAGATCATTGACGAGCCCACTAGCGCTGCATCCTTGTTGGCGAACAATATCCCGACTGCTTCCAACTTTTATATCTCATATATCATTCTGCAGGGCTTGTCCTTCAGCGCCGGTGCACTGCTGCAGATCTCAGGATTGATTCTTGGCAAGGTTTTGGGCAGACTGTTGGATAATACTCCCCGCAAGATGTACAAGCGCTGGTCCTCCTTGTCCGGTCTGGGCTGGGGTACGGTATACCCAGTTTTCACTCTGTTGGCTGTCATCGGTAAGAAACCTCTTCATTCTCAATATTCCAGAGAAAGGAAGTCTTTTGACTGACGCGGGACCACTCAATAGCTATCATTTACTCCTGCATTGCGCCTCTTGTTCTCGGTTTTGCGACGATTGGTCTTTATCTCTTCTACTTTGCCTACCGCTACAACATGCTGTTCGTGTCGAATGCCAACATCGACACCCAAGGTAAAACTTTCTACCGGGCTCTGCAGCAACTCACGGTTGGCTGCTACATTCTCAACGTTTGCCTGATCGGACTTTTCGCGATCGGCGCTGCTGCGGACACGATAGCTACCGGCCCCTTGGTCCTGATGATCATTTTGCTTGTCTTCACTGTGCTGTACCATGTCTCTCTGAACAGCGCCTTGGCACCGCTCATTGAATACCTGCCCAAGAACCTTGAGGCTGAAGAGGAGGCTCTTCTGGCGCATGAGGCCAGGTTGAGCTCCTCTGCTGAGGAGCCTTACAATGACAAAGCTGCTGCTGGCAACTCTGCCGATGCCGGTCGCAACAGCAGTGTGGCCAATGTTGACTCTGCGGAGAAAGGCTTGACTGCCCCCGCTGCGGAGCAGCCCAAGGCCAACTTCCTGGTGCGGTATCTTCGGCCCGACAAGTATAGCGGCTACGCACAGCTGCGTCGGTGGGTTCCGACCAACGACACCACCAGCTATGATCCTGTGGTCGAAGAAACCGCTTATTACCACCCATCCATCAAGTCCCAGCCCCCTCTTCTCTGGGTTCCTCGTGACGAGCTGGGCGTCAGTCGCCAGGAGGTCAGACACACCTCGAAGGTGATTGAGATCACCGACGAAGATGCTTGGCTGGATGAGAAGAACCACATCCAATGGAATACGGACAAGGGCACTCCTCCTGTCTACGAGGAGAAGATCTATTACTAAGGGTCGAGCACAAATCCGGCGATGCACGGCGGTGACCGGCTCCGACAAAGTGATGATCGAGGACCACTATTTTCATGGTGGAACCAAGTTGACCTAATAATTGATACCCATGGATCGGTGGAATTCGGGTTCCATGACCCATCTGTGATACCCGCGATAATATGTCTGGAATAATGGTAATATAAACGAGTTGTGAGTGTGTTATATTTTACATGGGAAATGAGATCATAGATGCTTTTTATGATCTCGGTAAACATGTGGGCTGTCTTCAAATCATGACGGCCGATTTCCATCTCTGGTTTTCCGATGTCAAGAGACGAGGCAGTTTCCCCTCGATGTGCTGTACTTACAAAGGCCTCACAGGCTTGAGCATTCATCCAATCAGTCAAACTTTCTATTTTCCACTAGTTAAACACCAATGGTTTACACTGTGTCCCGGAGAGGATGTTGAATTGTCATGCGGTGGAAATGAACTTAGACCTTGACCCGGGCAAGAATCGGTCAATTAGAATAGTGACTGGTAAAATATAAAAAAGGAGCAATTCCTTAGCGGAGGATTTAGGGCCAGCTCCGGTTGACCGCCCAGGTGCCGCTGACCATGAGCCTTACTGAGAACCCTGGGATGAGGTTCTCCACCGGTTCCTGTTTCTGCCCTGCGTTGGAAGGTCCCTCTTTTTTTCCCAACCTTGTTTGATATCGAGGTACGGTACTTCACCAACTGGCAGGCACGAGGTGCAAAAATGCAGTGCCGTGAAGGAGCCACCGAGCTTATGCGAGTGGTTTGGAACCAATCGGAAAGATTACCTGAGCCGCAGTCGGACCCGGTTCGGCCTTTCTGCAGCCCCCTTTGCGCCTGTAATTGGCCAAGCAAAAGACAGTCTCGGCCGGCAGCGGAGCCGCCTTACCCAGTTGGGTTGCCACTTTGCCAGCCGGGCTGGCCAGTTTCACACCTGAGGTATTCAATATTATCCTAGACTACTCCGTAGACTTGCGTCTCAGTGCTGGCGCTTGCGACCGTTAACTTATTAGGGGCTAGAAAACGGTTAATTGCAATCTAGCCAGGGTCTGGCCGGCCAAACTAGCAATTTACTCGTTAGTTAGTAGGGATTTGTTTGCTCCTCATTGTGCTAAATTTTTCCCTTTCTCTCTCTCTTCTCCCTGCCTTGTTTCGGTGGTCATTCCAAGTTCCACCTGTCAGATTGCCAACTCCCGAGACAAAGGATTGGACTTCATTGAACGCGAACGGTTGACCCTCTTCCCGATCGTGGCTGGCGTCAGTGCGTGCACTGCACTGGGACTGTGCCCTTATCGATATCGGTATCGGTCTCGCCGATCAAGGAACAGTGACGATTACATCCAACCCCTCTTACCCAGAACGATCCTGGCGGGCGAACTATGGACTGAGCGTCGTCATCGGTCGAATCCCTGTTGTCGCGCTTGTGTTCCCCCTCACCGTACTTGACCTCACACAGGAGACAAGGGTCAATCGCCGATTGTACTGTGCATACATAACATAAAACGGTCTGTGTCGCTGGTCGAGCCAGCCAGATCTCTACCTGCCATCGATCGACATGCCCCGCAATATCCTCATTGCGGGCGCTGGCATTGCCGGACTCGCTTGCGCCATCTCGCTGTCGAAGGAGCTGGGCTTCTCCAGCCCCGATCTGAAGATCTCCGTATTTGAGGGAGCGGCGGGTCCTTCCGCCTCCGGAGGCGCTATCAGTTTGACTCCCATCGCGCAGAACTACCTCCATGAGCTTGGGGTCTTGTCCGAGCTGAATCGGATGGGCAATGATGCGGGAATCGAGGTCGATATCATCGAACTGTTTTCGTTGCGGTCTGGCCGGCGATTGGGCCCCCTACGATTCACCGACGAGAAAGGACGCGGATATGGGGGCTACAAGGGCCGTCGAGTGATGCGCAGTGCGCTGTCGTGTGCTATGTTGGCCGTCATCCGCGATCTCCCGAATGTGTCCGTCTCCTATGACGCGAAAGTGGTGGGCGGCAGTACCACCGATGACAGCGTGACGCTCAAGTTCGAGAATGGTGCAATAGCCACTGGAGATCTACTTCTCGGCTGTGACGGCGTGCATTCCATCACTCGAACGCAGATTGTCGACCCGGGCAATCGGTCAGAGTATACGGGGATCTCCTTCATTCAGAGTGTCGTGGATGCGCAGCAGTTCACACTGCCAATGCACTTTGACCAGACCGCGGTGCATTTCACCCGCCACAGTTCGTTGCTCACTAGCTACTGTGACCCGGCACGCGAGAAGCTCTTCGCGGCGGCCATCCTTCGTGTCAACGAGCATCTCATCGAACGATATCAGGCTGCGTCGACGAATCCCCAATCCGCGGCGAGCATGAAGATGTCCATTCGATACCTGGTACGCACACAGTTCGGCAAGTCCACCCTGCCCAGCATCCGAGAACTGGTCGATCGCATCGAAGACTGGGCGCTGTACCCGGTGTATCAAGTACGCCAGCGCGGGAAATGGTACAAGGGGCGAGTTCTTCTGCTGGGAGATGCTGCGCATGCGGTATGTTTCCTCTTCCCCGAATATGCTCTGCTTTATGTGTTCTTAAACTCCCTTGTCTCCCAATATACTAATCATCTCACTCTTCCCATCCCCGGGAGAGTGTTATAGATGCCCCCTCGTGACGAATCCGCCGCCTACGCCATCGAAGACGCTCTCATCTTCACCCAGATCCTCGCCCAGCACCGCGATGATAGCTGCCCCCTATCGACCCTGTTTCAGGAGTACGAGGCTGCTCGCAGGGTCCTTGTGAACAAGGCCTTTGACGCCTCGCGCAGGCTGTGGCAGAGCGACCTCGACAAGGGGCTTTTCCCGGGCCATGTGCGGGATCTCATGTCGCCGGTGCATGTCTCCTCGGCGACTTCGTCGGCGCCGCGCGGGACCGCGGCGACCCATGAGAGTTTCTCGGACCTGTCGGTGTACTCGTTGACGAGAGAGTTCCAGGGGGAGATCGAGTCTTAGGTGGTGGAGCTGCATGTTGTGATTGTCGTTGATCGGCGGGCTGCGATGGATGATGGTCAGTGATTGGCGTGTTGTTTGGGGTTTGTTGCTCTTGATACCAGGAGTCTCTGGTCCAAATTCCGAAGGAGTCATGGAGTTATCTTAAAAGGACTTAAGCTTTGATTTTCGTCTTGATCTATCATTGACCACATACCTTTTAATCTCAGAATGTACAAGGGCCTGACCTGCGGGTTCCTCCCTTGGCCAAGGCATTGCGACGCGCCGTTCGCGGGCCCAGCAGGGCCCGTGCTTGCAGCTGTTTAAGCACCTTCTTAAGCACCTGTTTATATAGTAGCTGTCTAACCGAGGACCTATCCTACAGCTTTATTAATCCGCAGCTGCTTAAGGGTATTAACGCACCTTTTTATGCACCTTTCCAAGTATCCTTCTTAGCACTATGTCTATTCAAAAATATATACAATATTTCAGCCCTAGGGTTTGAATCTGCAGTTGAGCGGGCCTTTGTCGGTGTTCCTGAGTAATCCAGCCTATGTGATCCGAGGCGATTGACCAAGCGCATTGCCTACCTAGTACCTTAAGGACTTAATTAGTTTAATTATTAGAGCCAATGAAGAGTTCAAGAATACGTTCTACATAGCCCACCCCTGAGGCCTTAAATCGCGTACAGCCTTGCATCACCCTCCGAGACCTCCTCTCTGCAATGTTACGAAGCGCAATTCTATTCAGGTTCATGTTATTACCTCTTAAAAGAACTCATCAGACTGTTCCAGTTTGAAAGAAGGCGTTTTGTACAGCCAATCAGCGGTCAGAGCCCTTGCTCAGGCCCTCATAGAGTTGCAACATGCTCAATGGTCTCTCAATCTTTCCCTCCATTTCGCGAAATCTCCCTGAATTGATATGGCATCAGGTACTACCAAGTATCTTAAACATGCGACGATGAAAGGACTTACCCATTCGGGTTATATCGACTTATCTCCACGTGACAGCACGGCTGCCGACGTGGCGTCACCGCTCTGGCCTCGGAGATTTTCTGCCGCTAGTTTTTTCTTATCCCGACGGAGAAGTTTTGTTTGAGTGATTGACCTTCCATCCGCCCCCTTCTGCAGCCATCGTTCTGCATCTTTTCTCCCCTTTCCCCCATCTCCTTTCCCTTCCTTTCATCGATTGTGGATCGAGTTTCTATATACCAATTCATCCATATTTATTCTGTTTGATTTATCATGTTAGGTGCTTTTCGCCGGGCTGGTGTGTCCCACGCGCTGCGAGCTTCTCGAGCTCTCGCCGTGAAGACGACTTCGCAGCGCGCTGCTCAATGGATCATTCCTTCTGCTACCCCCATCACGCAAACTCTCAGATCATCATTCCACACGTCTCCCGTTCGCTTCTCGATTTCCGCCGCCCAGGAGGCCGAGAATGCTGTCCCTACGACCGGGTCCCAGGAGCTGGTCAACTTCAGCCAGTTGCAGGGCAAAATCGATCCCCAGTTTGTCGACAACATCACGAGAAGAATGAAGATCACAACCATGACCGATGTGCAAAGCAAGACCATCGCTTACACGCTAGATGGTTCTGACTGGTGAGTTCAGTTCATGGGTTTTGCCTCGCTCTTGTTTTCGTCGCTCTTGTTTTCGTCTTGGAAGAATCAAAGGCTGACAAATTTTCTTTCCGATCCATCAGTCTTGGTCAAGCAAAGACTGGAACAGGTAAAACGCTCGCTTTCTTGGTTCCTGTTGTCCAAAAGGTGATCGCCGGTCTGCCAACGTCGCGGTTCGCGAAGCAACAGATGAGGGCGGGGGACATTCGCGCCATCATCATCTCACCCACCCGAGAGCTGGCTGAGCAAATCGCCAACGAGGCTCAGCGCCTGGTGGCTGGAACCGGTGTGCAGGTGCAGACTGCCGTGGGTGGAACACAGAAGGCCATGCACCTGAGAAAGTGCCAGAACGAGGGTTGCCACATCCTGGTCGGTACTCCCGGCCGTCTGTATGACGTTCTGTCCAGCCCGTACTCTGGCATCCGTGCCCCGAATCTCTCTTCTTTCGTTCTGGATGAGTGCGATCGTTTGTTGGACGACGGTTTCTCTCAGGACATTCAGCAAATTGCGGAGTTGCTGCCTGACCCCACCAAGGTCGATCGCCAGACTCTGATGTTCTCCGCCACCATGAACCGTGATGTACTCCGCTTGGTGAACACCATGATGAAGCCTGGATTCAAGAATGTTAAGACCATCGACGAGAATGAAGCCCCGACTCACATGTCTGTTCCCCAGAGAACCGTTATCATGAACGGTTATGAGAATGGGTTCGCCAGCATTCTCGAGATGGTGAAGAACTATCGGACGAACTACCTGGCGAGACGCACTGAGGATCCGGAGCTCCGTCCTTTCAAGGCTATCATCTACCTGAACACCACCAAGTTGACCAACTTGGCTTTCCAGATTTTCGACAGGCTGCTCAATGTTCCCGGAGACTTCCGCAGTGGCCATCCTTTCGGCAACATGCCGTTGTACGAGATCCATTCCAAGTTGTCTCAGGCTGCCAGAACCCGGACTTCCCAGCAGTTTCGTGCTGCCAGGGAGGGTATTCTTTTCTCTTCCGATGTCACGGCCCGTGGTATGGATTACCCCGACGTGACTCATGTCATTCAACTCGGCTGCCCTCGAGACCGTGAGACCTATATCCATCGCTTGGGACGGACAGCCCGTGCTCACAAGAAGGGTGAAGGATGGCTCTACCTGCACAAGGACGAGAAGGTTTACGCACAGGCTAAGTTGGCTGGTCTCCCGCTCAAGATCGACAGATCTCTCGAAACGGCCACCAAGGATATGGTTAACGAGGAAACCAATGAACACATTGAGCAGATCAAGAATGCCGCTCAAGACATCCACCCCGACGAGAGGACGGAGGCAGTTACCACCTTTGGAAACCACGCGGAAGGTGTTTTGGGTCGGTACGCTATGGAGGGTATGAAGAACTTTGCCATTCACGGCCTGGGTCTCAAGGAAGCCCCTTACTTCCGTGGTGGTATGCAGAGATCACATGGCCGCTCGGGCAACAGGATGTTGGGCGGTGGCGGCGGCTCTCGCGGTGGTTATGGTTCTCGAGACAAATACGGCTCTCGCGGTGGTTTTGGCCAGCGCGGCTCTCGCGACAACTACGGCTCTCGCGACAACTACGGCTCTCGCGATAACTACGGCTCTCGCGATAACAACCGCTCCCGCGGTAACTACGGTTCTCGCGACAACAACGGCTCTCGCGACAACTATGGCTCTCGCAGCCGTGGAGGTGTTAGTGATGCTATGTTCGGCATTTAGACGCATCATAGCATCTTCCTGCCTCACGGATTCTCGGTCACGTCGTCTTTCTGCCATTGGTTCAGGTGTACTTTTTTCTTTCATGGGGAGCCTAAAATGCTTTACTTGTTGACATGTAACTCTACTCTAGATACCAGATGACATAATTCATTCTTGTACAATACAGCTGTTTACAACTCGATTTCCATTCTCTCGTACACAACATAACGGAATCCTGCCATGTAGTTAGTTGTCTTCAGGTGGTTGGTCAAGAGGAGCTGACTATTGTGATGTGTGTCTAATACAGCCTTGTGCATAAGGGAAAGCCAGCCGTAGTGCGGCAGATGGACGTTTGCTAGGTACTCCGTATTTAAGCATACATCCTTCCCACGGCCATTTTCTTCCTACCAGTAGCAACTGATTGTGCTTCATTCTTTTTGTGCAGTACAATTATTTGATCCTCGGATCGAATACTCTATCTATCTAATCATCCTCACATGGGCTCTGAAGGGTTGACTTCATGGGAGCCCATGGCTCTGCAATGCTGCTAGCTGGGCCACCAAGTACAATAGCTGGAATTTCTTTCTGAATCACACACCAATTCAAACCATTTCATCGAATTGTCATCATGATCGCCTCGTGACAGAACCACAGCCCAGCGAAGCCGTCTCGAGCATCTTGCATGTCACACAGCACAATTCGACAGCACATGCACATACACATGGTTGACTTGCAAGCCACATTACATTGTAAAGTACAGTCCTCTTTGACAAAAAATGAATAGGAGCAAAGAAGAGTCTTGTTCAGGCGGGACACAAGAGAAAAGCACACGGGAAGAAAAAATAAATGGGTCCAATTGGATTGGATTGACCAAGGTGCCGACTCCCGACCTCCGACTCTCGAACTCTCTGGTTGGGACGAGGGTGAGGGTCCATCACTTGATGGGGAGGTAGTTACTGTACGTATTCTTGCCTGTCTGTCTGCTCAAGATCCCCTTTGAATGTGACAGGTGCTCGATTCCGTCTCCTTGCTTGTTGTTCCTACATGCAGACCAATGCCACGTTGTAGGATCAGGTACCAGTCCTAATTGACAGGGTGGATCTCGGAGATTACCACGGAGTGGTGTGGTGGTTTTTTTGTGTCAATTTTTACTGAATACTCGTACCAGGATCAGTCAGCCTTACAGCTAGACCGGGTTACATTCTTCAGCTACGGAAGAGGAGTCTGCCGGACCAGGAGGAAATGGAGGAGACAGACCCATGAAGTGGAGACCTTTTACTGATTGATAATTTGATTGTGGTTCGGACTGGGTCTGGTTCTTCCTTGCCAGCTGTGGACTAAAGGTACCAGCCACGAGTGTTACTTACTAGACTGCTAGGCGAGTAGCAGTAACTACTCCGTGACCCATCTCGCTGCCCGATTTTTGCTCGCTTGTGCATTTTGCTTTGCCATGTCGTGTGTGTTGTGCAGAGGGGTTGGGTCCGATCGGGAGGTATGTTGTTTGCTCTTCGAGGGTTACTGTGATAGAAGGTCCTCCAAGGCAATAACCCGTCCCTTAAGTTGGGAAGAGATCAGACCGAGGCAATGCTCTGGACAATGAAGATACTCAAGGATAAGGGAATGTACTGTAGTTATGGCCCATGGGACAAGGACTCCACTGATGGGAAATTTGCCCTTATCTAGATTAAAAAGATCAAAAATGTCTCGGAGCCGATCCGGTCCGACAACGGACGATGCGTCATTCGCATTAATTTTTATTTTTCGCGCTGCCTCCGACCGGCCCAAAAGCTCCCCGCGTTGATTGCTTTCCCTCTGCATTTCCCTCAACACCCGAGGTCTTCCCCTCCCCCCCTCCAACCTCCATTTCTCAAGATTTTTTTTCTATGTATTCCTGCCTGGCATGTGTGTTTCGTATCTCGGCCAGGAATGAAACATGAGCTCTAGGACTTTGACGGGGCTAAGGACTGCAAAGTCCTCGCGACTCAAGGTACGTCGTTCGGGCCCGAACAATGACTGACTCAGAGGGTCTTATTGTATGGGGATGTGAATAGCGGGCTGACTTCGCCCTCACTACGCACAGCAAAGCAATGCTTCTCTAAACAGCAGCAGCAGCAGCAGCATTCAATCACCAGTATGGTGTCCTTTCACAAGGAGAAATGTCTCGTCTACAACCGAACGACGAGTTCAGCAAAGCGCTGAATTCTCGTCCAGCAGTCGGAGCTATGAGCGACTGGGCCGCCGCGCCAAGGAGAAGTTGCTGGATCGGGTATGCGATATACACCTCTTTTTTTTTGGCTCCCGACACAACAACCTTTCTCCACGCAATCGCAAAGCTGACAGGGCTAGGACTTCTTTCTTAGTTTGTTAAACTCCGCGTCGACGAAGCGAGAAGCCAAGTCTTACCTTGCTCGCCTCAAGGCCCAGCACCAGATCAGCGCAAACCAAGAAGCACCTAAACCTCTCGTGACAGATGTGAAGATCCCTTCTGCGGCTATACCCTCATCAACCGGGGTTAACTTGGGTTCGTTCTACGGTGCCTCCCGGTCTGTCTACGAGACGCCGGTCTTTATCCATGATACCACCCCTAGTCCCCCACCGCCGACCATCACCCAGCGTCTTCATCTGGCCCTGATCAAGATTACCACCCCACAACTCCTGGACGATTGCACAATCAATGGCGTAGCGAAAACACTGTCCCAGTTAAACCGTCTGGGGATGGCATGCTGTGTAGTAGTCGACCCGGGCACGGGCGAGGACCTCAATGCGCTGCGGAAGATCGCCGCAGAGCAGGCAGATCGGCTATCGTTGGCGGTCGACGCTCAGCCAGATTCAAAATCGGCCCACATTGATTCGGTATTGTCGATCTCAACAACGAAGCCACCAGCTTTGAAAGTGTCTTCGCGGAAAGCGCTGCTCGGCCCGTTGCGGGATGGCCAGATTGTGGTTGCGGCCCCTGTCGCCTACACCGAGGAAGTTCCCCGGGCTGTCGCCGTCTCTGGCAACGATGCCATCCTTGCATTGGCAAAGGAACTTGCAGGACTGGCGACAGTGCCTGATCCTGATGAAGATCCTCTGCTCACGGCTCAGAGGATCAAGGACCTACAGGCAGAAGTTTCTCTGGATCGTGTCATTCTCTTAGATCCTCTCGGTGGTATTCCCGCGCTCAGTGGCCCTCAGTCGTCCCACGTCTTCATCAACATGGAGCAAGAGTTTGGGGATATCTTACAAGAGTTGCGTCAAGTGCGGCAGTCCGCATTGTCAGCAGAGAAGAACCCCCCTGCGGGCCAATCCGACTGCCCGTCGATTCCGGCTTTGGAAGCGAGTGCCATCGATGGCCATCTCGAGAACTTGCGGCTGAGCCAAGCGGCACTCGCATTGCTACCATCGGCCTCTTCTGGAATTATAACCTCGCCTCTCGAAGTCGCAAATTCAGCTCAATCCTCCCATGATCTTGCGCCAGACCTTTCTGCGGTGGGCACCCGTCGGCAGCGAAACCCTCTGATCCATAATCTCCTAACCGACAAACCCCTACTTTCTTCATCTTTGCCTCTGAGCCGCCGCGCAGCTATGCACGGACGGCCAGCCTCTGTTGCTACGCCCGGCCTACATACAACCTTTGTCAAACGAGGCATGCCTCTGACGTTGATCCCGAATCCGCGAGTTCAGGTGTGGACTGCGCAAAATCGCCCGCAGCTGGGATTGGATGACCCATGCATCGACCTCCCGCGCCTGGTTCATCTGATCGAGGACTCCTTCAACCGCAAACTTGACGTGCAGGACTACCTGAACCGTGTCAATGGCCGGTTGGCGGGGCTGATCATTGCCGGAGAATATGAAGGAGGGGCCATCTTAACCTGGGAGCTGCCGCCTGGGGTCGAGGATGACGGAAGCGAGGCGAGTCAGGCCCGCATGGTTCCATATTTGGATAAGTTTGCTGTTTTGAAACGCAGTCAGGGTGCGGGAGGTGTGGCGGATATTGTGTTCAACGCGATGGTGCGGTCCTGTTTCCCGAATGGCGTGTGCTGGCGCAGCCGCAAGGACAACCCGGTAAACAAATGGTATTTTGAGCGCTCGCAGGGAACCTGGAAGCTGAATGACACCAATTGGACCATGTTTTGGACAACGCCGGGATTGGTGCAGGATTCGCAGAGATTCCAGGACTACGAAGGAGTGTGTCGCAGCATCCAGCCGAGTTGGGCGGATGACATTGGGGTGGTTGACTGAGTACAACCCTTTCGCCAATAAACCAAAAATTGCACAGTGTGTATAGATCTACTAGATACTATCGGAGTATATATGCCCGGCTGTTCGGGTCTCAGCGACTTCACTTGCAACCGTCTCTAAACCTTGGAAGTATAAATTGTATGGAGGGTATAGTGTTGATACCGTCCAATACACAAAGGGGCTGGATGACTCAGAGGCTGGCCTGCATTGGGACCCTCTATTCTTACCCAATGCGGCAAAATGACAATACAGCTCCGGTATCGTATCTGTCTGGAGTCGATCTCCCGGCATCGGCGGTGGCGCGAGCCAATCAGAGCGAGGATAATCAAAGGGCGACTAAAGGTCGAGAATAAGAATGACTCCCTCGCCTCAGTCATTTATCTACCTTTTTCTTTTCCTTCTCTGTGCAATTGTTCTTCACAGCATTCTCCTGCAAAGAACAATGGTGCGGCAGCTTGTTTGGCAGCGGGCCTCCGCCTCTCAGAGGGTATGTGGTGCACTCTTGGATCATCCTGCTTCATCTCAAGCGATAGATAGATCGGAACTGACACACTCCTCTCTCCACTTTCCAGTTGGCCCCGAAGTGCCTCTCCCCACAAAGACTATTTGCTCGCCGTGGTCTGGCCACCGAGGCCTCTTCGACCCCTGCTTCCTCGCGCATGCCCCCATACCCGAAGATTGTGCGGAACTTGGAACAAGTTCGTCGAGTGTTGGGTTCTTCGCGATCTCTCACGTTGGCCGAAAAGATCCTCTACGCCCACTTGGACAACCCTGAGGAGTCGCTGTTGACCGGCACCAACAATGGACGGGACATCCGCGGCAAGGCCAACTTGAAGTTGAAGCCTGACCGTGTGGCGATGCAGGACGCCTCTGCCCAGATGGCTCTGCTGCAGTTCATGTCCTGCGGCTTGCCCTCGACTGCGGTCCCTGCCAGTATCCACTGCGACCACATGATTGTCGGTGAGCGCGGTGCCGATGTCGATTTGCCGGCCTCGATCCAGGGAAACAGCGAGGTGTTCGACTTCCTGGAGAGCGCTGCTAAGCGGTATGGTATCGAGTTCTGGCCCCCTGGTGCTGGTATCATCCACCAGAGCGTGCTCGAGAACTACTCGGCTCCTGGTCTGATGATGCTGGGCACGGACAGCCACACCCCCAATGCTGGTGGTCTTGGTGCCATTGCCATTGGTGTTGGTGGTGCGGATGCCGTCGACGCCCTGGTCGATGCGCCTTGGGAGTTGAAGGCGCCGCGCATCTTGGGTGTGCGCCTGGAAGGCAAGCTGAACGGCTGGGCCTCTCCCAAGGACGTCATCCTTCACTTGGCTGGCAAGCTGACTGTTCGTGGCGGAACTGGATTCATCATCGAGTACCACGGCCCCGGTGTGGAGACTCTGAGCTGCACCGGTATGGCTACCATCTGCAACATGGGTGCTGAGGTTGGCGCGACCACCTCGGTCTTCCCCTTCTCTCCCAACCACATTCCTTACCTTCAGGCTACTCACCGTGGCGATGTGGCCAAGGCTGCCGCTGAGATTGCCGCCTCTGGACCCCAGAACCTCCTGCGGGCTGACAATGGTTCCCAATACGACCAGTTGATCACCATCGATTTGTCCACCCTGGAGCCTCACATCAACGGCCCCTTCACCCCGGACCTCTCGGTTCCCGTGTCTGCCTTCGCTGACACCGTCCGTGAGAAGAGCTGGCCCCAGACTTTGGGAGCCGGTCTGATTGGCAGCTGCACCAACAGCTCCTACGAGGATATGACCCGTGCTGAGCACCTGGTCAAGCAGGCCACCGCGGCCGGCCTCAAACCCAAAGCCGACTTCTTCATCACGCCTGGTAGTGAGCAGATTCGGGCTACTCTGGACCGTGACCAGACGCTGTCGACTTTCTCGCAGGCGGGAGGTACCGTGCTGGCCAATGCATGCGGACCCTGCATTGGTCAATGGAAGCGCACGGACGGCGTCCCCAAGGGCGAGGACAATGCCATCCTGACCTCGTACAACCGCAACTTTCCCGGCCGTAACGACGGTAACCGCCGGACCATGAACTTCTTGGCCTCCCCCGAGCTGGTCACGGCTATGGTTTACTCCGGCAGCACGACCTTCAACCCAATGACGGACAGCATCAAGACCCCCAGCGGCGAGGAGTTCCGCTTCCAGCCCCCTACGGGCCAGGCCCTCCCCGGCCAGGGATTCGCCGACGGCAACCCTGACTTCCAGCCTACAGCTGCTGTTCCTGACGCCTCTTGTGAGGTGATTGTCTCCCCGACCTCCGACCGTCTGGCGCTGCTGGAGCCCTTTGCTCCCTTCCCCAAGGGCGAGCTCTCTGGTCTGAAGGTCCTCTACAAGGTGAAGGGTCAGTGCACCACCGATACCATCTCCGCGGCCGGCCCGTGGTTGAAGTACAAGGGTCACCTGCCCAACATCTCTGCCAACACTCTGATCGGCGCCGTCAACGCCGCCACCGGCGAGACCAACGTGGCCTACGACGAGGCCGGCAAGCAGTACTCGATCCCCGATCTGGCTGCCCACTGGAAGTCCCAGGGCACCGAGTGGCTGGTCGTCGCCGAGGAGAACTACGGTGAGGGCAGTGCTCGCGAGCACGCCGCCCTGCAGCCCCGCTACCTGGGCGGCCGCATCATCGTCTCCAAGAGCTTCGCCCGTATCCACGAGACCAACCTCAAGAAGCAGGGTGTCGTGCCTCTGACCTTCGAGAACCCGGCTGACTACGACAAGATCGATGCCTGCGATCAGGTCGCCACCGAGGGCCTGTACGATGTCCTCCAGGCCGGTGGCCAGGGCTCCATCCAGCTGCACGTCACAAAGCGCTCGGGTGAGCAGCTCGTCATCCCCGTCCGCCACACTCTCAGCCCCGACCAGTGCGGTTTCATCCTGGCTGGTAGTGCGTTGAACCTGCTGGCGCAGCGGGCGAACAAGCAATAAACAGTTTGATCTGTGATTTCTATGCGAGTTCCGCTGGAAGATTAACTGTGCTGCTTGTTTGTCTATCTTTTGTTATGTACATATATCGTGGGGCTTTTTGGGTTCTTGGGCTGTTTGAGTATTCAAAATTCGGGGCAAAAAGCGGGTTAGATTAATTTTATGACTGGAATTTTGTTCCTTGGATCATGCGTGTCTTGTAGGTTCTTGTGATGGGTGAAGTATTATGTAGAGAGTGTAACATTATTGTGATAATTTTGAGCTGATTTGAAGGTACTGTCCATGAAGATGATGAGTAGCTAGAGTATTGTCGCATCTTATCGACAGCGATTAGATATGCAGGAAAATGGTTATCGATAAGACGGGGGGAGATCACATGATCAGACTTCTGACGTTTTGCCTGGTTTGCACAGGACTCCTCGTCGCATTCAACTTCAACCTTTTCTACAGCGCCCAATCTTGAGTATCCTACTACCCTCTTACCAGACTTACTTCACCTAGCAGCTTGATCAAGCCCATCGGCTCAACACGCAAGCAGGACTTGCAATTCCCAAGTGACACATTCTCTCCATTGTCACCCGCCAGACTACCTGGATCTTGCACCCTCACCTTACCTCAAAAGCCAACTCCTCCGACCTTCAAGCCGCAATGGACCAACAACCAGAGAAGCGCAAATACGCCGCCGGCCCTACCGTCGGCCCCAGCCCCGCGCCCATCGACACAGAGGACGCATCCAGCAAACGCCGCCGAGTGATCGGGCCCTCCCTTCCGCCCCCGGCGCAATCCAGCGCCAGCGACGACGAGACGAACAACCACCACCACCACCACAAACCCAGCGCCCCTATCCGCGAGAACAACAGCGAAAGCGACAGCTCCGACGACGACTTCGGTCCAACCCTCCCCCCACCCGCCGGCAGCGTACAACCCACCCCAACCACCTCCACCACCTCCCCCTCCTCCTCCACCACGACATCAAAACCAGAACCCCAACGCGACGCCTGGATGCTCGAACCCCTCGAACCCTCCGACCGGACCGCGCGCGTCGACCCCACGCGCCTGCGAAACCGGCGCTTCCAGTCCGGGCCCCGCGCCGGCCACGCCGGGGCCGCGGGCGGGGGCGTCGACGTCACGTGGACGGAGACCCCGGAGCAGAAAATGAAGCGGCTCCAGGACGAGGTGCTGGGCGTGCAGGCGCCGCGGAATCACGATGCAGGGGCTGCTGCCGCTGGTGGTAAACAGACTCAGCCGTCCAAGGCGATGCAGGAGCAGATTCGGCGGTATAATGAGGAGAAGCGACGGGAGGATGCGGCGGCGCGCGAGAAGCATAGGACACTGCCCAAAGAGGAGGAGGATGATCCCAGTAAGCGGGCGTTCGATCGCGAGAAGGATATGGGCCTCGCCGGGAAGATTTCCCATGCCCAGCGGAGGGAGATGATCAGTAAGGCGGCGGATTTTGGGAGTCGGTTTTCGAGTGGCAGGTTTTTGTGATGGGGGATGAGGCATTTTTGTTATCCGGGAGGGGGGATGCTGTAAGGGAGGAGGAGAAGGAGGAGGGGGAGGAGGGGTCGGTGGTTCCATTGCTGCGTGGTGGATGGATAGGTGGATAGATGGGGGGTTGTCTCCTACTGCTACCTATTTACTATCAATGTACATGAAGTGGTGTTGATGGGGCAGTATACAGATTGCAAGATTTAACAATATCCTGAGATTGTATCCCTAGTACAATGAGGTTGATCTGGTATACCGGACAATCCTTCAAGCTGAGTGGACCGGATAAAAACGCCGACGGATGACAGGCGGAAGAGATTCCGGTTTGTCTGTTTGTTTGTCTGGCTGTGTTTCTGTCTGTCCGTCTGTCTGTCTGCGGGGTTGCTTTTTCCGCAGATAAACGGATTAAGTTGGAGATTGAGTTAACAGCAGACTGGAACTGATCTATACTACTACAGAATACGTACTTCGTACTTGGTACCTATTATGTAGTAAGACTGCTGACTGCTACTGCTCCTCCTCGTGCCGTGCGGGGAATGGAAGCCAATCCCAAAACACTCAAGCAAATCCACGCCAGCTTATCGCCTTCTTCACCGATACGAGGTTCCATCATCATCATCATCATCATCATCATCATCATCTCCTCATTGTCTCAGATCCCTATCCCTTGCCCTGCTTCTCCCTCTCTTCCCTCTCTTTACTTCCCAAGTTCCCACCTACTCCCCCTGAATGTATCCCCCCTATACTCCCTTCCACATATTCTCTCATCATGAACCTCCGTCGAGTAACCTCGCACAATTTCCATACCTTTCGACACCACTATGTGTCGGAAATCTCCGGCTCTCTGGGCGATCTGGGCACCTTCTTGCCCATCGCCATCGCCCTCGCCGTCAATGGCACTGTCTCTCTGTCGAGCACCCTGATCTTCTCCGGTCTGTTTAACATTCTAACAGGCCTCTTCTTCGGGATTCCGTTACCCGTGCAGCCCATGAAAGCCATCGCGGCCGTGGCCATTGCTCGAACCTTCACCAACGGAGCCATCGCCGCCGCCGGTATCTTTGTCGGGGCTTGCGTCTTCCTCTTCAGCATAACCGGCCTCCTGAACTGGTTCGCCAACGCCATCCCCATTCCCGTCATCAAAGGCATCCAAGTCGGCGCCGGTCTGTCCTTGATCATCGCGTCCGGGGGTTCGATCCTCTCGTCCCTCGGATGGCTGTACCCGTCCTGGGCCGACAACCGCACCTGGGCCGTGGCCGCCTTCCTGTTCCTGATCATCACCAACGTGTACCGCAACGTGCCCTACGCCCTGCTCGTCTTCATCCTAGGGCTCTCGTTTGCCGTCATCGGCAGCGCGCTGGCCTCCGACCTCCCGTCCCTCGTCTTCTGGCACCCCTACACCGTCATCCCATCCGCCCACGAATGGCGCATCGGCGCGCTCGACGCGGGAGTCGGCCAGATCCCCCTGACGACGCTGAACTCCGTCGTCGCCGTCGTCCACTTGGCCGGGGACCTCCTCCCCACCCTGGAGACCCCCTCCATCACCTCCGTCGGCCTCAGCGTGGCAGGCATGAACCTCATCGGGTGCTGGTTCGGCGCGATGCCCGTCTGCCACGGCTCCGGCGGGCTGGCGGCCCAGTACCGCTTCGGCGCCCGGTCCGGCGCCAGCGTCATCATCCTGGGGGCTCTCAAGCTGATCATCGGCGTGTTTTTTGGGGAGTCCCTCGTCGGCCTGCTGAAGCGCTTCCCCACCGCCCTGCTCGGCGTGATGGTCATCGCCGCCGGCCTGGAGCTGGTCAGCGTGGGCGAGTCGCTGAACACCACCGGGGCGCGGGACATCCGCAAGGCCAGCCACGGGTTCGCCGGCGACGGCGCGCAGGAGATCGGCCCGATGCTGAGCGACTGGGAGCGCAAGCGCCGGTGGACCGTCATGATGGTCACCGTGGGCTTGTTGGTGGGGTTCAAGAACGATGCCGTCGGCTTCGTGGCCGGCATGCTCTGCCACTGGGGGTATGAGTTGCCCACGCTGTTCGAGCGGGTGCGCGAACGGTGGAACCAGAGGCGGATTCAGTTGGAGTGATTGAGCCGATTCCCCGTTGTTCGACGACGACTTTCTTTCTGGTAGTCGTTTTGTCTTGATGTTTGTATAGTTGACCTCGGTGTATATACGCTTTTCGGGGGCATTTTGGACAATTCTTTATTTTTGGCTGTGACTGAGAACACGAGAGAGAGATGAGATATGAGCTTCTGTTTTGGATTCATTGATTCGCGCATGGGCTTGCAATGGTACTTACGCGATATGGCTTTGCCCCCGCGGCTACTTATTGGGACAGAAGATCCAGGCTGAAATACGGCTTGGGGTCGAGGTGGTTGCAGTCTCGATGTCATATCAGATGTCCCGATCCTGGACAGCAAGCCTTTTTGGGCGTTGGATGCACAACCCAACTAAGATGTACACCGAAATCAAGAGATAGGATCCGGTTGCTACCGAATTTTCCTGAAATGTGAACAGGCTTTTGACAGACATGCAATACGTAAACCTGTGCGACGTTAACCTCCTACTTGTGGACGGCCCGAATGCTAATACCAAACATAAAACCGGTTCAGGCGCCGTTGCTACTCGGAGTGCCTCTAAAGAATTTCCACCACCCAGATAAGTCGCTAACAGCGTGAACATCAAGATTTCTTTTTCCCAATCCGGCTATACCTAGCATACAAAACCGCAACTTTTCCCTACTTTTTGTGTACTTCTACCAAAATCCCTACTCTCCCCCGCTAATATACACAAAACCGCAGCCCCCCGCTTACATACGCTTGAGGACATCATCCAGAACCTGCTGGGTCGTAGCCTGGCCGCCCATATCGGGGGAGAGGAACTTGCCCTCATCGAGGTTGGCATCGACGGCGGCGTAGATCTTAGCGGCGGCGGCCTCCTCGCCGAGGAACTCGAGCATCAGGGCGACACTGCGGAGGGTGGCGATGGGGTTGGCGATGCCGCGGCCCTCGATGTCGGGGGCGCTGCCGTGGCAGGGCTCGCCGATGGCGAAGCCATCCCCGACGTTGGCGCTAGGCACCAGCCCCAGACTGCCGACGAGGGCGGCGGCGCCGTCGGACAGGATGTCGCCGTACAGGTTGGGCGCGACGATGACGTCGTAGTACTCGGGCTGGCGGAAGAGCTTGTAGACCATGGAGTCGACGATCTGCTCCTCGACCTCGACCGTCCCGGCGAACTGCTCGGCGGCCAGGGCGCGCCGCGCCGTCTCGCGGAACAGCCCGTCCGTCTGCGACAGCACGTTGGACTTGTGCGTGATCGTCACCATCGGGCTGGTGCGGGCGGTCGTCGACAGCCCCGGCGGCCCCGCGGTGCGGATCTTCTGGCGCCGCAGCGCGATCTCGCCCGCGATGCTGGCGATGCGGAAACTCGCCCGCTCGGAGATCCGCTTGATCGCCTCGGCCACCTTGCCCTCCGCCGTGTCCCGCGTCGTCTCCTCCTTCACGTACAGGTCCTCCGTGTTCTCCCGCACGATCACCAGGTCGATCGGCTTGCCGTTGTGGCTGCCCCCTGCCGTCGTCTTGACCGGCCGCACGTTGGCGTACAGGTCCAGCTTCTTGCGGAGCGCGACGATCGGTGAGCTGTAGCCGGCGACCTTGGTGCTGGGGGAGCTGTGTGCGTTTTGATGACTTGGTTAGTATGAGGGGGTGGCGGTAGGGGGGATTGAGGGGAGGGAGGGGGTTTACCTGACGGCTCCGAACAGAGCACCATCACACTCCTTCTTCAGGGTCTCGACCGTCTTGTCCGGCAGAGCGGTACCGGTCCGCTTGAAGGTGTCGAAGCCCGCATCCAGATCGACGAAGCTGAAGTTCAGGTTCAGCGAGGAGGGGAGAGCCTCCAGAACGCGGCGACCGGCCTGTTGGGACGACTTGTGGTCAGTTTTTGGGCTTGTGGTGTGGCTGGTTCGGATGAGGAAAGAAATTCAATTGCATCGTCTCCTGGGAAAGTGACTCACCGGGATGACCTCCCGTCCGATACCATCTCCGGGGATGAGACCTGTATAGTTGGAAAGGGGATGTCAATTGAGCCTTCTTGAATTATATTCAGTCGTAGGGAAGGGGTATCGTACCAATGCGAAGAGTTCTAGCAGCAGCAGCCATGGCGAAATCGTAGGAATTTTAGTAGGTGGTTGTGCAAGGAATCAAGGAGAGTTTAAGTGTGACTCGAGCTCATTATAAACGGCCGATAGAGAAACCGCCGCAATCGGAGGATCGGCGGGCCCCGGTTTTTGGGGGAGGGAGGGTGTGGGTAAGTTAGGTGGCTGGCAGATTCCCACCGCTTTGGCCACCGCCCCAACTGGCAGAAACTACGCAACCTCGTAACGAGAATCCATTCTGCACCAGGTATACAGAAGGGAAAAATCTATCTGGAAAACTGTTCAAAAGCATACCGCCTTTGACTTTAGGGGGCAGAATAGGCTCCTCACCGCGTAGACCACCGCCCAGGATGGCAGAAACTAAGAAACCTCGCAACCTCGCGGCGAGATTTCACAGGTATACAGCGGGAAAAAAGCGGCCGGGGAAACTGTTTGTTCTGTTACCGCCTGCCGAAGCTAGAGGACACATGACCGGCAGAAAAAGCGAGCCGGCGATGATGACATCTAGTCCACGTGAACTCATGCCAATGACCCACAACGGCTCGCACTGCTGGTGTCAATGACTCTCCGTATTCCAACACACTTGCACTTCCCTCCCGTCCTCGGGCCTTCGAAAGCCACCTGCCAGCCAACGCGAAACTACTACGGTTGTCCAGAAAGCTCACCGGACACGGTTCCAGGGCCAGACGCACTACGGGGTACAACAAGGACAACCGACGTCTGTTTGGCGATCTATACAGCGCCGTACTCCACTCTCACCAGCTCGTCCACTCTCCCTATCGTCGAGAGCGAGAAAGGCGTTCCTCGCCTTTCCCTTCATTCTCGTTGGGGTGTGTCATTCACCCCTGAGGGATAAGGCCTTCTTTTCGGGGGGGAAAAAAGAAAGAAAAAGGGCCGCGTTCGCCGCCGCGGCTTTTTTTTTTTGTCAGGATGGTGTACGATTGGGAAGGAAAGCGGGAAATCTGCTTTCAGATGTATATTAAGGACAAGAAGGCGCTCGAGGAGATCATGGAATATATGAAGAACGTCTACCAATTTGCCCCGAGGTGAGTGAGTTTCGTGGAGTTCGTGTATCGTCGACATTGGACCCCTTGATTTCCAAACCCTCGAGTCCTCCCCCGCGCGCCGATCCGCTGTCTCGCTCTGTCCTCGTTTTTGTCTCACTGACAGCCAATTGCTTCTCGCCCAGTAAACGAGCGTTCCAGACCCAATTCAAGCGGTGGGGGTTCCCGTCCAAACAGAATCCAGCACATAAGAATGTCGAACTCGTGGCGCGCGTCAAACAGCTCTGGGAGCGGAATACCAGCCAACGAGACATGCTGCGCATGCTCAACGAGGAAGGGTTCGAGATCAAGGAGCGCGAGCTGATGCGAGTGCGCGCCAAGAACCGTTGGCTGCTTCGCGTCCCCAATGGCATGAAGTCGCAGTCGAGGGTGATGCAGACGCCCCTGCCGCAATTACCGGAGGATGAAGGTCTCCTGGCGCTGCAGCAGGAGGTGTATAAGTCTGGGTTGGCATATGAAGAGCCTGAGGAGCCTCTTGTCCCTGCTGCCCCTGTTGCTGCCGTCACAACCACCACCACCGTCGCCCCCGCCGACGACGCGTCGATTTCGCCGACCGACTCTCCAGCCTTGTCGGCCGAGGCTCTGGCCAAGCGCAAAGAGCGAATGGACAAGTTGAAGGCAGAGAGTGCGGAGCGGTGGGCGAATCGCAAACGGCGGCGGCGCACGCGCGGATGGGCAGGCATGCCAGCGGATCCACCAGGGCCGCCCCGATTTCCCTCGGAGACGACGATTGACGAGAGCAAGAAATACCTGAACCTGGATAATGTGATGTATCGGCAGATTCGGGACCAGTTTCAACAGATCTGTGAGGAAGCAGGCTTCATCAAGAAGACGGTGGCTGGACCCGAGCGATGGCAGGAGGCGAAGAACAAGCTAATCCAGGAGTCGTATCACCTCCAGCAGGTGTTTCACGATCAGAATCAGCTGGACGTGAAGTCGTTGGCGCTGGATGTCGTCTGCACTGATGTGACGAAGCGGATGCGCACGCTGGAGCGCCGGATGACCATTGCCGAGGCGAAAAATGCTCTGGGCATCAACCCGGAGGAGAGTCGTCAGATCCGGAATGCATTTTACAATACCCTCAAGGCGGATCATTTCACCAGCAAGCTGGAAGCGGGCGACGAACATTGGAAGGAATTGAAGGAACAGTGGATCCAAAACTCGGAGCTCCTCCGGCGCATCCTCGCCCCCGGCGCTGCGGATCCCGAGCATGCGATCAAGCTCAAGGCCCTCGAGGTCCTTTGTCGCGATGTCATGAAACGACTCCGCGACGACCAAACGAAGCGACATCCCGCCCGGAAGTCGTCGGTCACGCACTCCCATGTGCCCAGCCCGGATCTTGAGAGCCCCCCCGTTAGCGTCAGTGCTACCTTCGGTAGTGGCATCGCGAATGGCATCAGCACCCTGGCTTCGCAGGCCCTGGCCAGTGCATCGGTGTCGAACAGCGATCTGGGCGACATGCAGATCGACCCTTCTCTGTTGCAAGCTGCCAACGACCCGTCCTTCGCCACCGCTGCTCATGCTGACTCGGGCGATGCCTTTAGCTATGTGGATCCGATGCTGGGGTCGTCCCTCTTGCACGTGCCCGTCTATCTCCGCATCCACCCCCAGAGCCCACTGCATGGAGACGCTAAGACCTGGGTGGATAAGTTGACCGCCAGGTCGGTGACGGAGCTCCAGCAATTGGTTGCAGCGCGGTATCCTGACGCGGTCATCACAAAGATCGAGGGTACTGATCGCGACGAGAAAGGCAACGAGATCTCGTTTGTCATCGACGAGGAGCACGAGCTGGATGCCTATCTAACTCATGTCCATGGGAGAAAAGCGACGTTTGTCTTTTCCTTGGACCAAATTTGACATTTTGCACCACCGGGCCATGCCACCGGGTTGGCTCTCTGCAGTGCTCTTACTGATACCCATAGTTTGCATGTCTTGTAAACAATCTGTTAGAAATATATGCGCAAGTTATGCTTAGGAAACCAATTCAATTAACCATTCAAGTGCGAATTTGTGAATCAAGGTTGTTATCCGGACGAGGGAAGAGCGCTACATAGTTGACAGTGGAGCCAATGGCGAGCGAGCCCTTGCGGGGGTGGAAGAAACCACCCAACTTCAAGCCCCTTCTTCCTTACTCCTTGTCGGCCGTGAGAACAGGTTTACAAGTAAGATTATCTTTTGCAGCGATGTCTAGCGTTGGCTTGCACTGGCTTTGCTATCTCTTTCTTTGTTAATTATGGTGGTCGGCTTTTGGTCGTATTCGTATCGTTTTTCCTGCCTCCAGCTTTCGGAAATGACGCAGTGGTGGCTACCTAGCCTACGATGGCTCGGCAGACAAGGCAGCAGTGGAAGCTGAGCCATCGCTGTGATGTGCGGGTTGATCTTCGCTACTCCGTCATCGGGCCAAGACCCCGTGGGTGTGGTCTGAAGAAGGAGAATTAGTGTGCATGAGTATCTACTCCGTACTTTTTCCTTGGTTCAGATATGGTCGCTAAATACATGTACCTAGTAAGTACTGACCTGTGCTGACATGCTGCGTCAAGAATAGAAAGCCAGCCTCGAGATGTACCGCCCAGCGACTAAAATGTCATGTCTGACCCCTTACTTTTTCGTTGGCGGCACATGGCCTCATGCTTGTGTGTTGTGACACGGACCGATCGGGGGTTGGCAATATTGGCAAAGCTGGGCAAAAAAGCTTGGGACCCGACCGCATACTGTACAGTACCAGAGGCCAACAGGGGCAGGAAAGTGTAAAAGAGAGTCAACAAGACAAATGAATGAAGAACTGGTTACAATTCCCACAACCATGACCCGGACGGAAAAAGCCTGGACTGGATTGAGTCGACCCTGGATCCAAGACAGAACAATCTTGTCGCACCATTCATCATCATCATCCACCATCCACCATCCACCATCCACCATCCACGGGCACACTGGGCTGTCCCCAATTTGTTCCAAGAATAACCGGACGATTCTCAATGATCATTGCACGAGCGAAGCTGACGTGGTCCGCCCGATTGTCCCTCTTTCCCCCCATGGCTGGCCATTGGTTTGCTAGTAATCTCCTTTTCCCTTTCCCTTTCCAACCTGAGAAAATGAGTAACAATCAATAATAAATAATCAAAAAACAAAATCTGGAACCTGAGACGGGTTGGCGGCTAGCAGTCTAGTGCAGCAAGCAGTGCTGGGTCTCCCTCCCCCCTCTCTGCCCCCCCCGGCCCCATTTTCTGCTTCTGCTGCAGTCCCTAAATCCCTATGCTTGCTTGCTACTGGCAACTCAACTAACCTGACTGCTGCCGCTGCGGCCAAACGCCATCATCTTTCTTTCACTCTCACTCTTTCTTTCCCAGTCCCGTTTCCAATCTCAATTCTAACTTACTCTTCTCTCTCCGACCTTTTTCCTTCTTTCCCTTCCCCTCCCGATCGTTTCGCCTATCTGGCTCCCATCCCCGCTGGTCAACCGTGACCTTCCTTCGTTTTTCTGTCTTCGCCCTTCTCTGAACCCTCCTGCCGCTCGTTTTCACCCCCCATTGCCTTCTTAAGTCGCCGCCTCCCACCATGCGCTTCCTCCATGGTGCTCTCCATGGAGGGCTGCTTCTCAATGCCGCTCTCTTCGGCCATGTCACTCATGCCATTGATCTTGATATCAGTAGTGAATGTATGCTTTCCGCTCTCTGATTCTACCGCAATCACCAACCTGCCAACATCTACCCATACCAGCCGGAGATATACTGTGCCACGCTCGAACAAGCTGTCATACAGAACGCTGATCATTCTCTGTTACCACAGCATCCATAAAGGCTGCGGCAAGCCAAACAGCATACGGGTCCATGACCTGGTACCACGGCAATGAGACCGGCCAAATTCCCGGTGCATTCCCCTCGAAGTGGTGGGAAGGTAGTGCGCTGTTTATGAGTTTGCTTCTCTACTATTATTACACCGGCGACAGCACCTACAACGATGAAGTCCGCCAAGGCATGCAATGGCAAGCAGGTGACTGCGACTACATGCCGAGCAACTACAGTAGTTATCTGGTATGTAATCCGGGTTTGCGTGGGATCGGACTTTTTCGGACGGAATCTCACATACGACATCTGTGTAGGGTAACGACGATCAAATGTTCTGGGGCCTCGCAGCGATGACCGCGGCTGAGATCGACTTCGCCGATTCGACCGACGGATATTCCTGGCTCGCGCTTGCTCAGGGCGTATACAACACCCAAGTCGCACGCTGGGACTCCTCGAACTGCGGAGGCGGACTGCGCTGGCAGATCTGGCCGTACGAGGCTGGGTACGATATGAAGAACTCAATCTCGAACGGAGGCCTGTTCCAGCTGGCTGCCCGTCTCGCCCGTTACACCAACAACGATACGTACGCCGACTGGGCCGAGAAGATCTTCGATTGGTCGGCATCCGTTCCTCTGTTGAATAACGAAACGTGGAACGTCGCGGATTCAACCGACATTGATAACGGCTGCACAACGCAGGGCAACAACCAATGGTCTTACAATTATGGAACATATCTGATGGGTGCCGCATACATGTACAACTATGTAAGGACGACTCTCGACCGACCTTGGGTTGCGTGGACGCTAACAGGAGACAAAAATCGCAGACGGGCAAGGCCAAGTGGAAGACCGCCGTGGATGGTCTTTTGAACGTCACCCTGACCACATTCTTCCCGTCCCAGTACGGCGGCAACATCATGTCCGAGGAACTCTGTGAACCTGCGGAGGCTTGCAACGACAACGAAATCCTCTTCAAGGGCCTGCTGAGCGGATGGCTCGGATTTGTGGCTTTGGTGGTCCCCTCGACATATGACGAGATCTTGCCGAAGCTGCAGGGCTCCGCCGAGGCCGCGGCCGCGTCTTGCAGCGGAATGAGCAACAACACGTGTGGTGTACGGTGGTACCCGAAGTCGTGGGATGGATGGAACGGCATGGAGGAAGAAATCGCCGTCACCAATGTCCTTTCATCTGTGCTCATTACGACGAAGAAGTCCGGCCCGGTGACCTCCACCACTGGCGGTAACAGTACCAGCGACCCGAATGCCGGTAAAGGAGATACCACCGGCGATAAGACCTCGACGCGGAAGATCACCGCCGGTGACAAGGCCGGTGCATCTATCTTGACGATTGTTTTTGTTGGGGCGTGGGGTGGCATGATCGCTTGGATGCTCCTCGGAGGCTAGGCCACGGCAATGACGGCTTGATGTTGCGTCGCATCTATATACCACACAGCGGTCCTTATATACCATTTCCACAAATTGTGGGTATCTTTTTCTAGAGGGACATCTTTCCTCTTTTTCGTTATTATTTTCTTTTGGTTCAGATTCCCGGTGGGTTTCAAGTGGTCGGGTACATATTGTGTTGCTGAAGGCGCAGTGTGCCTATAGGTCTTGTATGTTTTGTGTCTGGATGGTCTCGCTTGACAAGGATATGACTGTATATATAGAAGATAATCAAGATTTAGCAGGTATATTTGAGGCAAGCCAGCGGTGTCTGTCCTTCCGCCCATCTATCATTTTGCCACTGCGGAAAAGCAGTCCCCTGAAGAGACCGTGACAAGTGAGGGGAGTCAATAATACGAGGGCAGGCTGACATAATTCATCTGACACTCCGCAGGAACGCTGCGGAGAGTGGGGCTGACATAATCGGCGGTGAGTGGTCAGAAGACTGGGGCGAGTGACTCTGGCTGTGGAATGGAACCTGAACCTTAAAAGGCAAGGCTTAGACTGCCCAGTGTAAGTCCAGTCTGTCCAGTCCGGCTGCCAGCGGGCGCCAGGCCTCTCTTGCCTCTCTCTCTTTCATGCACCTCTCTCTCTCTCTCTCTCTCTCTCTCTCTTGTCTTCTTACTTCTCTCTTGACAATCATTCTATCCCCTATTGTTTTTATCGTGGTTTATTCCCCCCCCCCCCACGACGCACTAGTCTCCCTTCTCTTGACTGAGAAAGGGTCTCATTGCGGCTGGGATCCGATCTAGATTGCACCGAGCCTTAGGCCCTTAGCTTCTTCCCTCCGCCGTTCGCCCCCCCACTTAGATACGTCGCTTTCCCTCAGAACCCTGCTTTCCATCTATCACTCTATCACCCTCCGATTGTACACACTAGCATCGATTTACAAGAACAATGCTCGGCGAAGGTCCAGAGGACACTTCTCGGCCGTATCTGCCGCCGTCGCTCGAAGATGAAGAGGCTCGCTCAGTCGATCCCGACGCTTCCGATCCGCCTCAGGACGAGGAAGCGGCGCTCCGATATCTGCCCGTGTGGCTACGGGAATCATCCAAATCATTTCGTTGGGGCTGGGTACCATTGCCGCTGCGCAAAGTCGGTCGAGCCACCGCTGAATGGGTCCGGGGTCCCAATCCCCCGCGATCACTGCTCCTAAGGCCCCTGCTCCCACAGATCCAGGAGCTGCCGGTCCGTTATTTGGAGCGCTTCTTCCCCAAGCGCAAACAGAAAATCGCACTGTTGCTGCTACTGTATGTCGCCTGGTTCCTGCCGTGGAGTCTGGTGCTATGGCACTCCCGGCAGGCCGGGTATATCGAGGGCTATGGGCGTCCCCAGACACTGTCCTGCCGGACAAGTTTCTGGTAAGCTGAGATGCGCTAAAGCGGTGCGGTAGATTGAGCTAACCTAGATCCTAGGGCGCACGGGAATGAATGTGGTCTGAATGGCAACGACTGTCGCCCGTTCTCTGAGTCAACAATCGCCTTCCGCTGTCCTGCCAACTGTCACGACGCCAAGTTGTTGGAGCCTCATATGGTCGGCAACGAGACTTACAGTTATCGGGGGCTAGTCGTGGGAGGACCGGAGCCCGACTCGGATGAGCCCGGTGTCTACCGGGCAGATAGCTATGTCTGTCAGGCGGCCATCCATGCTGGCGTTATCACTAACACGGTGGGTGGCTGTGGTGTGGTGAAGTTGGAGGGTGCTGCGCACTCGTTCCCGCCGTCGAAGCAGAATGGGATCCGCTCGGTCGTATTTCCATCTACCTTTCCCAAGTCATTCAGCTTCGTGGAACTGTCTTCGTCGCAGGCGACATGCCCTCAAGATCCTCGGTGGCCGCTACTTGGCATCACCATTGGTGTGCTGAGCGTACTTTGGATCTTTAGCACCTCCTCGCCGGTGCTTTTCTTCAGCACCTTTTTCATGCTGTTCTGCCAAGTGGGCCTGGTCTCAGATCCGCCTTCTTTCACCCAGTTTGCCGACCTGCTCTCAAGTCTGCTGTCACGACTGCTGCCGGCCTCTTTCGTGGCTTACGTCCTGTACAAATACTGCGCTCGGCCGCTGTTGGATCCGCTGTCTGAGCCTGTCTATCAGATTACTAAGACGCTGCTCTACTTGCCACCTGCATTTATTGGCGGTCTGAACAACTATACCTTTGCGAGACTGATTCCCTTGGAGCGACTTACACCCCACGATATCCAGAAACAGCCCGGAGCCAAAGTAGCACTGGCGCTTGTCATTCCCACGGTCATCTGTATTATTCTCACTCAAGCTTGGCAGATTCGCATGGGTGGCTTGATGCCTCGCTACCTCAAGATCTATTGTACGATGGGTCTTATCCTTCTGATCTTGCTTCCTCTGCCGGGTCTCCGGTTGCGTATCCACCACTACATTCTCGCCATCCTACTGATGCCTGGCACGGCCCTCCCAACTCGACCATCTCTGATTTATCAGGGCTTGCTCTTGGGTCTTTTCATCAACGGCGTTGCCCGGTGGGGGTTTGCGTCGATCATTGAAACACCCGCGGCTTTGGGCGAGCAAGCCCCGGGTCCTGGTGGAGCGCACGGGTGGTGGGGCGGCACCTACCCCAATGTCACCGACTCCTCCGTGACGATTTCGCTGCCGGGCTTGGACACCCACGAAACCCACCACGGCAACGGCAATATCACATTCACTCTCTGGGAGCGGCAACGTATGAACAAATTGGGTGTGGATGGGATCTCGGTTTTGGTGAACGACGTCGAGCGCTGGCGCGGATACCTTGACGAAGACAAGCGCGGAGAATTTATCTGGCATAGACATGGACATAACGGGCTTGAACTATTCCACCGGCCGACAATCGAGAGTGATGTGATGGATATGGAGGTCCTCCGTGAGGACGAAGATTCGCAACCCGAGGATCTCTTCTTCCGCTTTGCTTTCCTCAAGGGAGCGGAAGCTGGCAAGTACGGAGGGGCTGGTGTCTGGCTGAAAGATGGACGATGGATGTCACCGCCAGCTCCAAAGTCTTAGACTTGGTGTAACGTTGCATGGTCGATTTTAGAGAGGGTGTTGACGGAGTATAAATCTGTGTTTCTGATTAACAATCGCTCTCGCCTGACCAGGCTCGGTGTTTGTGCATGCTGTGATAGTAGAACGTATATAGAAGTACAAGCGTATATGAGAAGTACATGAGCTTAAATTTATCTGGAATTATAATATGGCTGGTAGCGAGTACTTGAGCATAGTAGGCCATGTTTATTGTTTATTCGTTGTATACTGGCTTAATTTATCGGTGTAAACGATGCAAACAAGAAAATCCCGGACCATTTCCCCAAGCCATCATGTGACCCGAGCGGAGGTGGTTTGTGGTGTTTGCAGTGTTTGACGTGAACGGTGGAGCGCGGAGAAGAGAGAGTTCACTCAATCACACTGCAGGAAAGTAGAGTAGACCAGCTTGAACTACCGGCAGTTGCTGGCCCGGTCCTCCGTTCACTCCACGGGCGGTCTCTCTCTTTTGCCCCCTGGACAACGTTTACGCTCCATTGACTGCATCTCCAATCCAGAGAATATCACCCAGCAATCGCATACTCGATTTCAATTCCAACGATACGCGGGCAGGCCGCCCCGCCTGCCACTGCCACACCACAGCCTGCCATTCCTCTTGCTCAACCCCCTCCTTTTACCCCCCTCCCCTCCTCCCCCGAAATCCATTTACCTCCCCCCGGGAGAGCCACAATGATGTCTTCATCATTCGCCCCGAGCCTCACCCGCCGCGACACCAAATCCAGCATCCATGACAGCAGCAGCGGCATTGGGCTCGGGCACAACGGCAGCACGGCGGGGACGCTGCCGCCGCCCCTGACGAGCACAAACGGGTCATACGGCCCGCAGAGCGCGGCGGCGGTCTACCAGCACGTCCACGACATGGCGGTGAAGCGCATCTCGACGCTGGGGTACCTGCGGAAGGCGCACGAGGGGCGGATCTACTGGTTCAACACGGTGCACTTCTCGCGGGCGGACATCAGCCGGCTGGCGTACTTCGAGGCGCGCAAGCTGTCGCGGCGGGCGATCAACTTCCTGCTGCTGGGGCTGTCGCTGCCGCCGATCCTGGACGTCAGCACGACGCCCGTCGAGTTCCTGCGCGCCCTCAACGCCCTCCTCCTCGAGTTCGAGGCCTTCCAGCAGGTGCACCCGCCCGACGGCCCGCCCTCCTCCACCGCCTCCGCCCTCGCCCGCGCCCGCATCCCCCAGATGTTCAAGCGCGCCGCCCACGCCTCCGGCGCCTACTCCTCCAAGGCCCGCCGCGCCAGCTCCGCCACCGAGATCGGCCTCCCCATGCAGTCCTCCGACCCCTCCGACCTGAAAGCCATGGCCGCCGCCGGCGCCTCCTCCTCCTCCTCCGGCGCCTCCGCTTCCGCTCACCACCACCACCACCATGCCGCCGCCGCGGCGGCCTCCTCCGCCTCCTCCGCCTCCATGGGCTTCCCGCACACCGAGGCCTCCGAACTCCTCCCCGGCGAGGAGTACACCTACCTGCTGACCCCCTTGCTCCCCTTCGAGCCGGACTACTTCGAGACCTTCGTCACGCTGTGCGACGTCCTGATCGATTGCTATACCCGCCTGGTCTCGCTGGTGTACACCCCCAGTATCTGCACCGTGGCCATGGGCGAGATGTTCTCCAAGGCTGATGCGAAGATCCGCAAGATCATGGTCGCGGGCATCGTGCGCGAGTTCGAGGACTCGAGTCGCACCCAGGCCAAGACCGAGATCGCCGGCGTGAGTCGCGTGGTCTTGGGCGGGCTGATGGGGTAGCTAGCTAGCTAGCACCCTGGGTCTCGTTTCCGCTGCTGCGGCGGCGGCGGCGGCGGCAGCGGCGGCGGCGGCGGCGTTTTACCCCTCGTTCTCTTTTTTTCCGAATTGTTTCTGCTTGTTCATGTGACAAATTTGTGGAGCTGCGGTTCCCGCCCCCGCTGTCGGGTTATGGGAGTATATAGGAGTTTTTTTTTCAACCCTTTTTTTTACCTTTCTTTTTCTGTCCATCTTGTTCATGGGTATGTGTGCATATTACTCTCCCTTTCCCCCATTTTTCCTTCTCAGAATATCTGGATGTTTTATACAAGGGATATGAATGGGTTTTCCTGTCTGATAGTGATGAACTGTGATATGTCATCTTAATGTCTGTTTGTCCATAGCATAGAATGATACCTCATTGACAAATTCCAGGTGGTGTGCACTGGATGTGGATATCAATGGCTGTGTTTGTTCGAGAATGCCATCTCGTATAATTACATGAAGTGGGATGTGTACCTGGAGCACACCCCGCTCCAGGCTCGAGTACGGTAAAATCCGCTCTTAACTACCACCCATACCCGGGTCTAATAAGCAGTCCTCCCCGTCTTCACTTCTGCGAGAATCCCCGCCTCCGCCATCCGTTCCACCAGATCGAACAGCATGAAATCACAGCCCCGTCGCGCGATCAGATTAAAGACTACCGGCCATTGCTCCGTCACCATCGTGACAGGCGAGGCGTACGGGACCTGTCCCAACGGGATCGTGAAGTCCGCGCAGCTGGATGAATCATCCCGGTTAGCATACACCCTTCGTCTCGTCAGGAGGCTGAAGAATGAGAAGTGCAGACTCACCCGAACAACGCACAGATGGTCACGCACGGAATCACCGCCCCGTCCGGGTATGAGGACAGGAACGTCGCGTTGGGGCCCTCGTTCAGCCTCGACTCGCGGAAGCTGGGCAGCCCCCCTGTCCCGGCATCGCAAACGAGCAAGGCCTCGGAGCAGGTGTCCTCATCAAAGCGGAGGATCTCGCGCTCAAACCACTCGATGCTCTCGGCTCGACTTTGCACGGCGGCCTCGTAGTTCTCCGCATTCGTGACGTTGAAGTCGAGGTTCGTCCAGAGGGAGCGGAGACCGGGGTCCACGGGGGGGAAGCGTCCGTCGTGCTGGTCGGCCCAAGCTGAGATCAAGGGCTGGGCGACATCGTGGTACTGCGGCCACGTGGTGAGGACAATGGTGTTGTTCGCGAGGCGGCCCCAGTTGTCGCCGGTGTCCGAGAAGATGGCGGCGTCTGTGATGGTGGCGCTAAGATTGAAGTGGGTGATTGTCATGTTGAAGAGGGTGGTTAGTTTGAAGAGGGTGGAGGTGAGCAGATCTTGTGCCGCGGGGTTGGGCATGGGGAAGTATTCATCGGGGTATAGGATGCGTGATGGGAATGCGTGAGTCTTCGGCAGGGAAAGTGGAGGAAGGCCGGTGATGGAGGTATTTTGATGCAGTTCTGGTTCGCTGCCATACCATGATTTCGCGAACTGAGACCAGGAGAGTGGATCACGCCCAAAGACACCGACAGTGTCGCCGGCCCAGCTGAGTGGCACGGCTCCCTCCAGGGACATCATGCCCTGGCTGGGGCGATTGCCGCAGGTACCGGAGACGGCTGCTGGTCGGCGCATCGATGAGCCCGTGTCAGTGCCGATGGCATGGTCTAGCCAGGCGTATGCTGCAATGGCGCAACCGCCTCCGGAGGACGAGCCGGCGCAGGTGAGGTAGCCGTCGCCTCGGGGGTTGAAGGGATGCTGGGCATCGACCCAGTCCCATGGGCTTGCGCTGGCAGCAAACTGGGCCATTTTGTACTTGCCCACAAGGACTGCACCCAGATCAATCAGTCGTTGGATAGCTGGCGCTGTCGAGTCGGCGACCGGGCGTGTGTCAATCCACGCCTGACTGCCGGCTGAGGTCTGGAGGCCTTTGACGTCAAAGAGGTCTTTGATGGCCACCCGTTTCCCAGCCAGCGGACGAGGATCGTCCCAGAAATAAATGCGACTGGGAACAGGTATCAGCGGAGCCCAGGTCCGAGAGTCCATGGACTGCAGCGGTGCATAAGTGTCCAAGCCATCGTTGATAGGGTAGCTCCCCGTGATGAAGTCGCGATACTGGTCGATGTACAACCGGTAGGTGTCGAGAAAGTGAATCGCCGTTCCGAGTACTAGAGCTATATACGGTCCGGGCTGTAGTGCTTTCTGACTGCTCATACGAACCGTGGCAGCATGACTAGGAGCTTTGCGGAAGACTCCAGCGTCGAGATAGAGCTGGTCGACTCCGATCTGATCCAAGTATTTGAGCGCCGTCTTGTCGATGGTTATGGATCGAACGGACGAGGTAGAAGTGATATAAACCGAGGTCAGGAACTGCTCGGAGAAGACATCGTCTCCCGCCAGATAGGCGTCAATTGTCTCCTCCAAGAAGCCACCTGTGACGGCACTGCGGTTGGTGATAATCACAGTGATAGGGGCATATGCCTTAGTCTCAGCTGCTTCACTTCTCTTGGACTTTCCAATCTCCCCTACCGCATGTGGATGCACCGAGTTTGCAAAGTAGGTGACATCGGCCAGGTCATATGTGATGCCTTCTACTGAGGTATGTTCGAGATTCTGGAGTTGAATGGAAGCTGTACTCACTGCCCATCCAAAGCACAGGATGTAGAGAAGATAAATTAGCGCCATGCTGCAGATAAGTGGTACGAGGTTCTTTGCGAGATTGGAAGGTGATCGATTAAGTTGAGCTGGGTGTTGGTGGTTAAGTAGTATGCAGTGAGGTATACTACTTAAATGGGAAAGACCCTCTCACCTCACTGCCATCCGCACCTCCAACCTCGATACTCCCGGTTTCATATTCACATCACTAGCACTGGTCTAGCCCGTTTGCTGTCTACCTTGTCTCAGACATCTGCACCATCTCAGCAACCCACACTGCCAATCACTACCCTGCAGATGGTCTCGCTCGGGGAGATGACCACAGCGCTCAGCTTTCGGGCTATTGAATTCAGCTTCCCCCTTTCTCCAGCGCAGCAGTCTTGTCAACGTCCAATCTTGATGGCCCCTGATACGAGAAATCGATCCTCTGAAAAGACAAACATGATGGGAAATCACAGCCTCGCATCGTGTATATTGTCTCACCACATGTCTCGTTCACGAATTCCAGCCTCACGAGGTACACGGTTCCTGTTCATCACTCAGCCCAGCTATATTGTTCTTTCTGCGAGACAGAAGAGCAATTCAAACGTGGCAGGGAATCTCAGGTGGATGATCCTTCAAGAGACCGAACTCTTTGAGTACCCCTGCTGTATGCGTGAGTACGCATTCACCCTGGCTCTGAGACCACATACCTTGAACGGTATTTCCAAATCGACTGCATGCACGAGGCTGTGGTGGCTACACGATATTATGCTCGAAACCTCCAGGGAGATCATTGCATGCCTGAGTTACTGTTTCCCTCGCCCATGCAGTGAACGTAGAATTTATGAAGTCGACGTCGGCTTCAGACAGGTATGGTAAATAATCATTTGTCAAACATTCACGACATCACAGGACTCTCAATTCTCTCAGCTGAGACAATTATAATGAAAATCCAGCGAGATAAACGAAATGGCATTGTCACATGATTATTTATCGTACTATTATCTACAGGTCAACAAACTCACCTCTAAGTGCCTCTCCCTTCTTCAGACGGCCAAGATAGTCGCTCACCTTTGCCGACAACACCCCGGTTTCGTAGCCGAAGAACTTGTACGCAGCCTTGCCCGGCAAACTGTGGCCAAACCGACGAACAGAGATACCTGCATCGGCGTACCGCTCCCATCCATTGGGAGCGTACGGCTCTATCACGACAGCCGGAATATCTTGATGCCTCCGCAGAACCTCTCTCTTATATTCAATAGACTGCTGCTCGAACAGTCGCTGACACGGAAAACTGATGACCCGCGCCACAGTCCCCCGAGTCTCCTTCAAGTGCTTAGCAACCTCCAGTGCAAAGGATAGCTCGGCTCCCACTCCGATCAGCGTCACGGCCGCATCGTCGGCTTCTTCAAGGACGTATGCACCACGTGCAACACCGTCTCGACGGGTCTGCTTCAGTTGCGGGAGGGCATGGCGCGAAGTGGAGATAATCGTGGAAGTCTTCTTGGCCTCAATTGCTGCAATCCATGCGCCGGCTGTCTCTTCGCTGTCACCTGGACGAATGTACAGAAGATTGGGCATAGCGCGGTATAAAGCTGCGAGCTCAATGGGCTGATGTGTAGGGCCGTCTTCACCCATGCCGATCGAGTCATGAGTCGCCGCATGGATGACCTGAAGATGCTGAAGGGCACCCATGCGAACAGCAGGTGCAGCATAGAGGTAGAACATGAAGAATGATGATGTGATGGGGACAAAAGTGTTGGGAGCAAATGCGGCCATACCATTGGAAATGGCGCACATGGCATGCTCACGAACACCATAGTGGATATACCGGCCGGAGTAGTTCCCGTTGATGCCGCATGTGGTTCTCAAATCGGGCTAAGAATTGTCAGTGTGAGTCGATCTGCTTGAATGGATTCTACCCACGTGTTGAAAATCTACTTTCCCTGGCCAAATCATGTTCACCGATGGGGAGAGATCAGCAGTTCCGACCATAAAGTTCTCAATTTCTTTAGCAATTGGATTAAATACCAACCCGGAAGACGCCCTCGAGGCTGTGGGCTTCTCTGGGAATTCAGAAGGAATCAGGTCCTTCCAATTGGTGGGAAGGTCTCCGCGCATACGACGGTGGAACTCTGCTCCCAGCTCGGGGTGCTCTGCGCTATATTGTTTGACAAGGGAGTTCCAGTTTCGCACGAGTGTTTCTCCCCGAGAAGGAAGATCATTGAAGAAACTTCGGACTTCGTCACCAATGACAAATGTCTCGTCTGGGTTGAATCCATAGGCCCTCTTCATATCGGCAACATCAGGAGATCCAAAGGCCGCGCCGTGGGCGGCCGCCATTCCTGCGACCTTGCTGCCCAGGCCAATCACTGTTCGCACGTTGATAAATGTTGGTTTCTCTTGAGACGCACGAGCACGTTCCAGTGCTTGGACGAGGCCCTCAATATCATAGCAGCCATCCTCGACATCGATCACATCCCAACCACAAGCACGCATTTTGGCATTAACATCCTCCGTGTTGGTCAAGTCGACGGATCCGTCGCAAGTGATCTGGTTGTTGTCGTAGATGACAGTCAAATTGTTGAGCTTGAGGTGTCCAGCAAAAGAAATGGCCTCGAGTCCGACACCCTCCTGGAGGCACGCATCGCCAATCATGCACCAAGTATGATTCGAGACGACGTCGTAGCCAGGTCGGTTGAATTTGGCGGCAAGGTTCTTGGTAGCCATGGCCAGACCAACAGCATTGGCAATACCCTGGCCCAGAGGCCCTGTTGTAACCTCGATACCTTCGTGCTCGATTTCGGGGTGGCCTGGGCACAGTGCATCAACGCGGTCGGAGTGGTACGACTTTAGCTGGTCAAAAGTCATATCCTTGTATCCAGTTAGGTGTAAGAATGTGTATTGAAACAGGCAGGTGTGGCCGTTCGAGAGAACGAAACGATCGCGATTGAAGTAATTAGGAGTATGGGGGGCATATCGCATGACATATCGCCAAAGTGCGACTCCGATAGCAGCCATTCCAATCGCACCTCTATTCTAGTCAGCTCCTTTGTTCAATTTTCTATTTCACGGGCAAATCTCTTACCCAGGATGGCCTCCACCGAACTGCTGACACAAATCAGCAATAAGAAGACGAAAGGTCTTCAAGACTTGGTCATGATCTTCGGAAAGCTGGCGCACCAGCGGCAAAGCCGATGCGCCGTTAACGAGTGAGTGGTCGAGACCGACAGCCATAGTGACAAGCTTGATATTGTTGAAAATACATTGCAAGGGAGGCAGGGGGCTCTTTATAACACTCGAATAACAAATAACGGATTTTGGGGAGCGTGGGGAAATTCATCATGGGATGCGGTTTTGCTTTCTCGACTGGGAGATACCCAGAGTTGTGCATTTACAGCACAGATCAGATCATGAGCAATGGAAGAATGGATGATGGATCCTACTCGTATACGGCAGTTATATGCACATTACTTGATCGGGTAGGTGGTAGCGCCGATAACTCAGCGGGGAAAGTCGAGCCTCCCCCCGCTAAAATGCGGGCACTGCGGGGTTGATCTTCCCTGGTCCGAACCACAACCTCCACAACATCCACGGCTATCTGTGGCTCGGATTGCCTTACTGTACTTTCTGATCTTCTGCTTTGAAGGAGGCCGCCGCCTCTTTCTTCTCCAACGATGAGTCTGATAAAATCCCCCGGGGCCCTGGGCCCTTCAGAGGGCGCATTGAAGTGAGCTCGACAGCCTTATCATTCTTATCACTATGTCTCCGTCTTTCCAGATCCCCCAGCCTGCGCCCTCGGTTGTTCCAGGCGTTAAATCGGCGACGGCGGGTCCAGAGCTGCTCGCGCCGTCATTCCCGAATCCGTCTCTTCAGGTTACTGCGGATCACAAGTTGAAATACGTCCCAGCGCCTGTTTATGCCCCACAACGAGACGAAGTTCTCCTGCACATAAAGGCCACCGGCATCTGTGGGTACGCAAATGAAGCTGTCGATGGAAGTTTCTGTGCTCTCTGACGCATCGCATTCAGATCAGATATCCATTTTTGGAAAACAGGTAGAATCGGAGAATTGGTATTTGAAGGTGACTGTGTGATCGGCCATGAAGCAGCGGGAGTCGTTTTGAAGTGTGGAGAGGGTGTCACCGACTTCAAGCCCGGTGAGTAACTCTTGTATAACATGGAAATCGAGCCGGGGTACTCATTCAATTGTCTGCTTAGGCGATCGAGTAGCTGTCGAACCAGGCGTCCCATGCGAAAACTGCTTCCTCTGCGACGACGGCCGTTACAACCTCTGCGAAGATGTCCACTTTGCAGGTGTCTACCCCTATGCCGGGACGCTCCAGCGTTATAAAGTGCATCCTGCCAAATGGCTCCACAAGTACGTTTCCTAAACGCTCTTGAGAGCTTGTATCTAAGAGAGAACATAGACTTCCGGATAACATCTCGTACGCTGAAGGTGCTCTGCTGGAGCCGCTTTCCGTCGTGATGCGTGGGATCCAAGTGGCTTGTCTCCAATTGGGTCGTGGAGTAGTTGTCTGTGGTGCAGGCCCCATTGGACTGATTGCGCTCGCTGCGGCTCGTGCCTCTGGGGCCCATCCTATTGTCATCACGGATATCGAGCCCAAGCGACTCGCATTCGCCAAAGAATTTGTCCCCAGCTGCATCACATATCAGGTAAATGGCTCGTTGGATGCGGAGGGTAATGCCAAGGCAATCAGAGCATTGTTCGGGTCGAGGGAGTATAACGCTCCCGAGACGGTTCTCGAATGTACCGGAGTAGAAAGCAGCGTGTGTACAGCGGCGTTTACAGCCCGGAGAGGCGGCGCTGTGGTCGTCATTGGGGTGGGAAAGTCGGTTATGAACAATCTTCCGTTCATGCATATCTCCTTGGCCGAGGTCAGTATCCGAGGCCAGTTTTTCCTTCTTCGTGGCGTGGCTAACAAATGTTGACTGGATAGATCGATCTGCGGTTCATCAATCGTTATCGTGATACATGGCCACCTGCTATTGCCTGTCTCAGTGGAGGAATCCTCGATCTGAAGAAGCTTGTGTCGCATACATTTCCGTTGGAAAGAGCTGTGGACGCACTTGAGCTATGTGCTGATCCGCGCAACGGCAGTATCAAGGTGACTGTTCTGGATGAAGTAGAAGCAACACTATAGACCCGACAAGATATACATGGATTCTACTTTCACGACTTATTAGGGATAACCTGCAGTAATTGAGTAGTGAGAGCATCATGAGCATAATATGAGCTTCGGATGCACGATCCCGCAGCTGCGTATCATGAAATGCTACTGTTCAAGTACGAGGCCGAGAAGCTGTTGACATTAAGTAAGTTCAACTACCATTGTCCTTGTGTCAATCATGAGGTTAGCATCGATGTTTACTTTTTTCCATGATTTTGGGAGATTTGAGGATAGTCTACTAGGCTAGTGATGATATCTGACTGACATATGTGATATGCAGTTTGTTATTCCAAAAAGAAAACTTGAAAATAGCATGCATTGTCTCATGATGTGTTCAACAATAAAACCTTAGGGCACAAGTGATTGTTCACATTGCGGGTAGATAATATGCCCTTAGAGCTGCTGCAGAGCAAGACAATGCTCTTTGTTCGGAGCTATCTGAGCCAGATGGAGAGGTTACTTTGGCACCAGGTGAAGACACAGCCAGCATAAACAAAGAATATCATCGATTTGCAGGAATGCTCCAGCTATTTGAGATGGTCTTGCTGAGAGACTTACATCAAGAGAGATCTCTTGAGGGAAAACAGAGTACTTAAAGTCAGTGCACCCTGACCTATCTCCAATCCCCAACGTCGAATGTCATTCTTGCTTTTGCACTCCTGAAGCCCTTCTATGTCCATCTCCTCGCCTCTGCCTCGTCCATCAAGTTCAACCAGCCAAACATGTCTCCTGTCAACCTAGGGTCGATGCCTGCCAAGCATTTCCCATACATTACCAAGTACGTGGACGAGCCGACTTTCCTCTCTCTCCGCCAGGTCTCCCGGAGAATGCACTACTTGGTGGGGCCCATGACGGAGGCGATCTTTGCGCGGCATCTCGATACCGTCGAGACGAACCTGTCGTATCACAGCCTGCTGCGCATCCACTGCGACCTGGCCCGGCCACGGGGCAACCCGCTGGCGGCGCTGGTCAAAAGGCTGGTGATCCGGTACCCGTACACGGGGCCCAACACCCCGTTCAACAGGCTGGCGCTGTGCGGCGAGATCGAGGACCCGCTCGCGCTGCCGGAACTCTGGGCACTGCGCTGCGATCTCATCACCGCGTTCACCGAGTGCCGGGACTTCGAGTTCCACCTGGACGAGCCCGCAGACTGGCCCGTGGACTGCATCCACGCCGGCGACGTGGTGCGCGTCATGTTCACCATCTTCAACGACGCGGGGATCCCGCCCGAGCGACTTCAGATCCACGCCTCGCTGCGCGCCGTGCCATTCCTGGAGCAGCCCACCACGACCCGGTACCAGGTCCTCCAGCTCCCCAACTGGATCGTGCCCGCGCTGTACCCCGAGGTGCTGCGCGACCTGCGCGTGCTCCACTTGCACGACGACTTCTTCCGGGAATACCGCGGCACGTCGATCGTCTGGGAACTGCTGGAGGGCACCCCGGCGCTGGAGGAGCTGCGCATCGTCGGCCGCGGCCGCGCGCATCCCACGGGGAATACCCTCGAGGCGCTGTCGACGGCGCGGCTGGCCTCCGCGCGGATCCGGGTGTTCTCCGTCCGGAGGATCGAGTCCACGGCCGCGATCCTGCGGACGTGTATCCGGAAGATGGCCGTGCGCGGTCTGGAGACGCTGGAGCTGAAGGATGTGACGCTGGCTACGCCGACGACGGGCGAGTCGTGGGAGGACGTCTTGCAGAGCGTGTGGCGGATGTGTGTCGATCTGACGCGCATCAACTTCAAGAATCTCGGCGCCCGAGACGAGAAGACGGGGGCCGTCAGGCGGCTGCTGCAGACTGGGTGTCGGTTGACGATCTCCGTGAGGCAGATGGTCTTAGAGCAATTGGTCGAGAAGGCGAGGAGGTTGAGAGTGGGTGGCGGTGCCGCCCCATGACTGCAGCGTGTCCTGGCGACATGCTCGGCAACGGACGTGTGGGCTTGTGCTGCTGCAACGGGAAGTAGATATACACAACTTACAGTACCTAATAACCTACTTTGTGTGTACAGTGCTATATGTGTGTATACATACCCTCAAAAGTCGCCTGTGATACTTGGCAGTAATTGTATAAGTCTCACATTCCTCATCGATACCCACCATATATATATAAATAGGAACCACATGGCCACGCTGACTAACGCTGGTTGACGTGTCCGAATCCAGCCCAAATTTGACTTCATTTCGGTCCTACTACCCTGTAAAGTTTCTTCGATTTCCCACAAAACTTGTCTTCTTTGGCGAGAAAGAAAAATTCGAAATGAGATCGTATTTCCTCTCGCTATTATTCTGTTGACCTACGTTACACTCAAGTTCTCTTACACTTCACTTCTCTTACAAGTGATTAGACTATCTACGTTCACAGTAAGCACGGAGGGAAAGCAAACTCACACACTCACATCATTCATCAGCCAGAAACATTAATAACACAACACAAGAACCTAAACCGCAGGACGCGACAATCAGAATATCAAGAAGACATAGCACTGCTGCAACCAATACAGGAATCTCACAAGACACAGCAACACAATTTCAAAAAAGCCATGTCCCAAAGAATACACCCCAAGAAGATGCCAACCAAACGGCAGTCACCAAACATGGCTATACCAAACGTGGCAGAGGAACATCGACATGGTTGCACGGGGCAAAACAACTGCTCAAGCTATAACAAAACAGTGCAAAATTCAATAAACAAGGAACTCCTCAGAAACACCGTCGCTTGCAGGCAGGCAGATAGAAAGACGCGACACAGAGTCGATCGCGTTTATTCGGATGCAGGTGTGGTAGCCTCACTCTGCTGAGCCGACTCTTGCCCTGAAGAAGAGGGGGTAGCAGGGGCAGCTGGCACGTTCGTGGTCTCTTCAGCTGCTGCTTGTTCGGCGGCTGCTTGTTCGGCTGCTGGCTGTTCGGCTGTGTGCCCATGGACTGTGTGCCCCGTGGCTGTGTGCCCATTCACTACTAGGACTACATGTCCGTTGACTGTCGGTCCATTGGCTGTGTGCTCGGTGGCTGTTGGGCCGGTGGCTGTGTGCCTGGTGGCCGTGTGTCCATTGGCCGTGTGTCCATTGGCTCTAGGCCCATTGACTACGGGCTGTGGGTGGATGCCTATACGATTCAGAACAGATATCAGTATCGACGAACGGATGGAAAACCGACCTTATCCCATTAAGGAGCGAAGCAAGATCCAAAAAATAAACAAAACCAGATCAGAGCAAGGTTGTTTGTTTCATCAGAAGAAAAAGGAATGAAGTCCCTTACCTTCTCCCCTGGCCTCTTCAAGTCGCAGACGCATCCCATGCAGTACAATCGGTTGATTATTTGCTTGGACGTCTGTCAAGATCCGTTGTGCTTCTTCGACAGTCTGCAGTCCACACATGGTTAGTAGTGTGACTCAAAACTCCTGGGATGCATTCCACACAAAAAGCCGATGGCTAATTTGACTCTTTAGGCATACGAAAGGAAGGATCAAAGACTTACTCGGAAAGTGACGAATCCGACATATCTGCCACCTGGGGTCCCAGGGAGGGTCCGCCGATTCCTCACGATCCTCACCCAGCACTCGAATGCCCACCGTTCGAAGATTGCCACCTTGATGCCTGCGGACATTGTGGAAGGGAGAATCTCATTTCTCAGGCTGAGTTTTCATGAGGGGGTTAGTATGACTGATTTTCCCTTGTGCGAAAACAGATGAAAGTGGCAGTTGCAGCAAGTGATGGGAATGATGATGGTGATGACGATGACGATGGTGATGGGGATAGCAGCACTTACTTGCCAACCAAGAGGGTGCTTCCCCTTGGGCAAAGATACTGTGCGTTCTCGTCGGTAAGCACATGTTGCTGTTGATGTTGTTGATGATGGTAGTGATGATGTTGATGCTGATGTTGTTGTTGATGTTGTGGAGGCAGTAGTAGTGGTGGCTGGAATGGGGGTGGATGAAAGCCGTTAAAGAGAGGCTGCTTTTGTGCAGCCCACTGCGGCTGAAGATGTGGCCATACTGGAGGGCCGAACACTTGAGGTGGTGCAGCCCACTGCTGCTGGAAGACAGGATAAAATGGCCCAGGAAAATGCTGAGCAGCATGATGATTTGGTCCGTTAAACTGCCGGCTAGCCCACTCCTGCTGGCCAGTGAAATGATGAGGAGGAGGCACATTCATGGTGGATGAACGAAGCTTGTGTAAAGCGATAGTTATCAAAGGTTAGAGGGGGAATATCAGTTGGGAGGAGAAGCGAATTTTCGTGGACAGCGAGACTCTTGAGCGATAGCGAAGAAGTAAAAGCGTGGCACGAAGTTGGTGAAAGAAGGAAGAAGTGGGCGAGGGTGAAGTTCTTTTATGCACCAGCTACGTCTTCATCGTGAGGTAAGCCGCCACGAAGAAACTTTCGATGAGTCGATGTCAAACTTTACAAGGAAAGAAAATCGTGAGTGTACACTCTTCTACATTGCTTGGGCTCGTCCCTCTGGGGAGTAACGGTGGTAGACCAAATCGCCCGATCCACGGAGCGTCCACGCCTGTGAGATAAGAGCACTGGAATCAAATGGAAGAGTATTGGATTCAGCTTTGAATGGGAATACTATCAATCATCTTGTTTAGGGCTATACTGGTCCTAGGAAGATGGGACTCGATCGAGGGAGACCCTGGATGATCTGCCTTCAATCATGAAGTCTCTCATCAGTCAAACATCTTCAGCTACGTCTCTCGTCTCATGAGGAAAGCAGCAAAGCAACAAGAACTAGCATCGCGAGGCATCTTCTCTCTCACCTGGGATCTGCCCACGGTACGGCTGAGTTATGCGTTGATTACGCAGTACAGGACGTGATGGCCATGCAATCGAATAGAACCAGCCTTGGAAATACGATTCCAGCGACTGGGAGAGACAAACTTTCGGATCGCTGAAGAGCACCCGAGACAGAGTGGCGACAGGGGAATTATGCTGTCGTCTAATCTCTTGAGTCAAGCGAACGAGACGTGATGCGGAACTATGTTCCATTGCCATGCATGCGGATGAGAAGAGCATCAGACTTGCACAGGAGGCCCTTGAGGGATTGGACCGGATTTGAGCAAATCCCTCAGAGTCTGCTTGCTAGTCAAGGGAGCCGCCGTTTAGCGAACAGAAATCATGATGCGGATTTGGAACCTCTGGATCGGTTGCCCCCGACATACTTTGTTCTCTCTCGCTGAGGATCTGAAATAAGAAAGAGTGATGTAATGTTGGGTCATTGAGTGGCATTGCGTTGATTGCTTGATCAAAGTGCTTGATCACATGGGCATTGTGCAAGGTTGTCTGCAAAACGCTGGAAAAGAGGCTTGTAACAATACTCGGAAACATACCTGAAAACATGCCTGTAATTATGCTCGAGACGACGGTCAAACAGAACTATGAAGTGTTTATCAGGGAAACCATACGTAGAGAGCTATTGATTCAGACAATATTAAAGAAGAAGGTTGAGGTTGGAACATATTACAGAGATAGTCGGCAGGGTGCTTCACGGCCACCTTCCTCTTTCTTGCATCCATCATCCATCATCCACCAGGTCACCTCGCAAGTAAGCCTCCACCAGCAGCATGGCCAGCGATCTAGCCCGACCAGCACGATCCGATGTTCTCGAAAATGAGGGTCTCGAACCCCTGAACCAAAAATGGGGATGTGGCGCTAGAATCAGGGACGCAGTGGAGGGATTCCCACCAGTCAGCTGTCAGAGCAGCAAACCCACTCCCTGCCAAGCGTATCTTCCAACGCTACTAACTTTGTATATGACTCGTATATAACTTCGCTTATTCCCTTTCGAAACGCCTGAACCTAGTTCTCCTGCTTCTACCCTCTGTGTGTCGTTCTTTATCACCTATACCCCCTTCTCTCCTTCGTGTCCTCACCACAGTCCCTCACTTCCCGCCACCACCCAACAGAAACAACAGCAACAACCATGAACCTCCTCACGACCACCATCTCCCTCCTCCTAGGCCTCACCCTCGTCGCCGCCAAAACAGACATTGGTCCCCCCTGCACCTCCTCCACCACCTACGTGGGCGGCATCTTCACGCGGATCTTCTACATCCCCGACACCGGCGAGCTCTGCGAACTCATCGACTGCGGCGGCGGGCGCGCGCCTCCCAAGACCACCGTCCCGGGCTGTCCACTCTACTCGGGCACAGAGCCCGTGCCCACGCATTATCTCCCCGGCTGGGGTCCAGGCGGCCGTCTGATCGAGACCACGACGACGACGAGTACGTCTGGTGGTGGTGCTGCTGAGGCTACAGACGGCACCAGTGCAATCACAGCTACTGCGGGTGGTGGTGGTGGAAGCGTGTACGCTTCTGCGTCTACGTCTACTGATGCTGCTGCTGCTGCTGCTGCTTCTTCGTCGTCGTCGGTTACTACTACCGGTATTGCTGCTGCTGCGGCAGCGGCTCAGATTACCGGTTCCACGGCCAGCGACTCCGCACGCGACGCGGCTTCAGCCGTGCTGGCTTCGAGTTCCGGCGCCACGGGTTCGGCGGCTGCTGCCGTGAATGCTACCACTACTGGGGTGGTGAGGGGGAATGAGGCGGCGGCTGGGTTCCGTGTGCGGAGTGCGGGGGTGGCGGTGGTGGTGGTTGGGGCTGTTGCGCTTGTAGGGGGCGTGATGCTTTGAGGTTCGGAGTTGGTTGGTAGGTTGCGTTGTACGAGTATTGGTGGCTGTATAGTATTTCGGTGGAGGGTGTTACGGAGGGGCTATCTGCTACGGGCCGTGGCTCGTGTCAGCTTGTGGGTTGATTGAGTTCGACGGTCGATCGGGAGTCAATTGTAGTTGGTGATCGTGGGTTCTTAGCCACTGTGCGGGACTTTTCCATGGCTATTGCCTCAGGTGATGGAGTTAACCATCGATCTCTATCGCGGGTAGGAGATTCATTTGTGACAGAGCTTGGAGTTTAGTGGGTTTGCTAAGATCTCAGCTCTTGGGATGCAAGCTTGTCTTAACGTCAACGCTGGTGTGAACAGGGTATAATAGTGGATTTGAAGCGTATTTGAGAAGCTACTATACCTCAGAAGCTATTGTACTTCAGATGGGACTGATGGGATTAGATAATGACCAGAGATATTTGATGTGTCTCTATGTAATTACACTGTCATGCTAAGGGTTGCTTATGTTAACCACTGCACGTGCGCATACGTGTTCAACATCCCGACATGACATCTGTACAGTACCGTAGAAGTCAGTGCTGGGTCTGGGCTGATACCCCGCGTTTGGATCAGACCATGTTTGCTTCTGCAGAGTGTGCTGGGCAGCAGTGAGGGATCCTTGCATCAAGACTGCCCAGAAAAAAAAAAAAAAAAAAAAAAGAAAGAAATTCAACTGGTGAATATGGATACATTGTATTAGAAACTATTGAACAAGAGATGTTGATCTCCTTAATCACAAATTAAAGCCTCAACATATGTCCTACCTGCTTCAGGCCGCAGTAAAGTATATTATATATGTGTAAAAGATGGCGATCTCGTCCTCGTCCATCAAATCCAGACGCAAACATCAATGCTGACGCTCCACCACTTTTCCTCTCATTGATTACGTCCTCTTATGCGGACTCGAGAAAGAGGCCAGCGCATTCAAGGACTCCGACAACGGCCACAGCGCATAGTAGAACCCCACCGCGCCACTGACGAGCAGGACATAGTAGGCAACAGTCCAGCCCATGCCCAACTGCCCATATCCCGTCTCATCCGAGCTGCCACCCTTGCCCTTAGCCAATGGGGGCCCAATGGGTACGCCTGCCTCGACCCGCCCCCACAACCGGGGCAGTCCGCACCAGTTGCAGAAGGTGTGCGCGAGAATGACCGCCGGGAGCGACCCGGTGCGCAGGTAAAGAAAAGTGGCATACCACCCGAAGACGGTGGTGTAGCCGAACTGGAAGATGGAACGCAGCAACGCTGCGATCACCGAGGTGTCGGGGTGGGTGAGGCGGAACTCGTAGAAGTGGTGCACGTGTGCGATGCCAAAGTACAGGGGTGCGACGAAGACGATGTGGCCCGAAGACACCTTGGCAAGCAGATGCAGCGGGACAATCGCTGAGCGGAACATGATTTCCTCGGTGATTGGGCCCTGTTGTTGTTTTTGTTTGTTAGTGCTTAGCCACGCTGTTGTGCCGGGAAGAATGACAGCTCAAACCTACCGCCACGTAGTTCCTCCAGCCGATCCAGCTGCGCAAGGACGCGCTGATGCGGCTACCCTGGATCCACTCCCTCCATTCGCCCTCCGCGATGCCTCTTTCGAACAATGGCCCCGCGAAGAGGATGGCTGTCAGCAGCAGGCTGCGGAAGATGTCGGCAAAGCTGATGGGCCACCACCCCAGGAGTTTGAGGGCCGCCGTCAGAGACCCGTCGTCTTTGCCGATGATCAGCCATGCGACGATGAGCGTGCTCGCGATGCATGACAGGGTCACGCTGCGGATTCGCGCGCGGATCACTGATGGTGCATCGCGACTCAGAGTGGGGGAAGGCCGGGTAGTGACATTCACGTAGAATGGAATCACGTAAAGAAGAGTCAGGAAAACCTGGAATCCGCATCTTCAGTCAAAGGTGACCTGGCGATTCATCGCTCTCTACTTCAACGAGCTGTCTTGATCGCTTACCGAGAAGAAAGCAGCTGCTGCCGTTGAGATAGCTGGTTCATCTGGACAAGGTGTCAGCACTCAGTTTGAGAGAGTGTGTCGTGAAGAGCCTACCGTAATCCTTGGAGTAAAGCGTCCTGAGACGAGTGAGCAAGTTGATGGGGGCCATGATAACCCGATCAGTGCTCGGATCGGAATGAGGAAAGTTTGATTAAAGATGGAACCCAAATCAACCACGATGTCAGCAAGTCCACATGAGAGTATGAGTCCGGAGAATCCTCAATTGCACAGGCTGTTCATCTGAGGGCCGAGTAAATAGACGAACAATAGCCTCGAGAATGCAAGAGGGAAGATGAACAAAGGGAACGGAGGGAAACACGACGTCGGCTGTAAATGCCGAGTTTGACAGGCACCAAGGCATCAACGCCGGAGCCGGTCCAGACCATCACGTGACTGAGTGGGGGCCAGAGGTGGCAGTCACATGATCTATGCCGTCATAGGTTGCAATTAAGCCCACGTGATCGCGCGCGCCGTCTGCCTGCGAGAGTGGCGTCGCGGGGATCCTCTCGCGAGAAGCATCCCTCTTTCCTTATCAGGTACCTCACAAGCGATTGACTCCGGTCGGTAGAGTCGGTAACACGACCTAGATTATTTCCAGCCATTTTCGCGCCGTCCAGATGTTGTATGGTTGCAGTTGACATTCGCTATAAACCGGGAATTGACCCGGCAGCATGGGTGTTCATGGACTGTGGACAGTCGTGCAGCCATGTGCACGGCCCATCAAGTTAGAAACGCTCAACAAGAAGCGTCTCGCAGTAGATGCATCTATTTGGATCTACCAGTTCTTGAAGGCTGTCCGCGACAAAGAGGGAAATGCTCTGCGCAACTCGCACATCGTTGGCTTCTTCCGCCGGATATGCAAGTTGCTATACTTCGGGATCAAACCGGTGTTCGTCTTCGACGGCGGCGCCCCGATTCTCAAGCGACAGACCATCAATAACCGAAAGAAACGCCGAGAGGGCCGCCGCGAAGATGCAGTCCGAACGGCAGGGAAACTGCTGGCAGTGCAGTTGCAGAGATCGGCCGAAGAAGCGGCAGCAGCGAGCCGCCAGAAACGGGTCGCGGACCAGGAGGAGGCGGTGCCAGACAACCCTGTATATGTCGACGATGCCTTCATGACAGAAAAGGAAAAACACCAGACGAGCTCCTTCAGGAAGAAGGATGCCTACCATTTACCCGACTTGCAAGTCTCCCTCGCGGAGATGGGGGCGCCCAACGATCCCCGCATCATGTCTCGCGAAGAACTCGAGGAGTATGCCCGGCAATTTCACCAGGGTGAGGACATTAATTTATATGACTTCTCCAAGATAGACTTCGATAGTCCCTTTTTCGTCAGCCTTCCGGCTACAGATCGGTACAACATCCTCAATGCGGCCCGACTCCGAAGTCGCCTGCGTATGGGTTACTCGAAGGAGCAACTAGACACCATGTTCCCTGACCGTATGGCTTTTTCGAAGTTCCAGATCGAGCGTGTCAAGGAAAGAAACGATCTTACGCAACGCTTAATGAATATCAATGGCATGAATGGGGAGGAGGCATTCTACAAATCTGGGCAGAGAATAGCTGGTGAGAGAGGCAAGGAGTATGTTCTGGTCAAGGACAACACTATCGAGGGGGGCTGGGTTCTGGGTGTCGTGGGAAATAAGGAAGGCCAAGAGGACAGGCCAATCGATGTTGACGAGTATGGCCAGCATCAGGTGGTAGCCCCGAAGGAGGAGTTTTCAGATGACAGCGACGGCGGTTTTGAAGATGTCCCCATTGAAGGCCTCAACCGGCTCCCTAAACTTCCTTTCCTGCGAGAAGGCGCTTTCGACGAGTCGATCATGAACCAGATGCATGGAGATGTAGAGCGCAGAAGGCCCTCGGATAACATGGACGACGACTCTTTATTTGTTCGCAACGACCGACGTACGAGCTTTTCAAACCATGGTTTGACTAATGGCGACGACATATGTCATGATTCCGAAGATAACGATGAGGAGCTCCAGCGCGCTATACAAATGTCTCTGGAATCCCCGACCCACAACCAAGTCGACAAAGACATGCCAGAAATTCAACTGAACCGGAGTGAAGTTTCCTTACCCCAGCCGAGGGACGAGCCCGCGGATTTCATGGATGAAAGTGAAGATGACTTTGATTTTGCGGCTGCTCTAGCTCAGTCTAAGAGGACCCAAAAAACCGCTCCTCCTACTCGTGTGGAAAATCCTTTTGATGGTCCTTTGCCCTTTGAGTCAATGCAGCTTATGAAGCCGAACAAGGTCCATGAGCCACGAAAAGAGCAGGAAATCCAGAAAGACCAAGCTAAGGATGAAGCAGAGGCGACGAAGCCCAAGAAGGAGGCTTTGCCTCTGCCACCGTGGTTCTCAGCGGCATCCCGCGATGATCATAATGCTGATTTCATCGCTGACGAGGTCGAGTCTCGACCAGCTAGGGAGCCTCGTGATGAGAAGCACGACTCGGGCGCACTTTTCGTACGGGATGAGGCAGCAAACCACAAATACCCTCATCGTGAGCCCACGGGCAGAAAAGAGGTCATCAATGTTGACTCCGAGTCTGAAGGGGAAGAGAGCTTACCTATTCCTACTAATGCCCCGACGATACACACCACACTAACTACTGTGGAGGCGCCCGGCTCTGAGAAGTCTAGTGAACATTCTCCACCTGAGACATACCCTAATGACATTCCAAAGGAATTCGGATCACTTAATGAACTTGGACCAACTTTATCCAATGGCAATATAGCCGACACTACTGAAAATCCCGATATTGCACGGTCCGAATCATCTCCAACTCCTGAGTTCGAGGATGTTGCCATGCCGCATACTGGCATGCCTGACGATGCTATGCATGTAGCGCAAGATGATTTCGAGGACGTTGTGACAACAACTGGAGACATAGCTGATAATACCAAGACTATCGCAGAAGATGCGCCAGTTTTTGAGCTTGTTGACACAGGGGACAGCATTGAACAGGAAGATTTTTCTGATTCTGAAGACGAGGATCTAATGCAGCAGCTTGCAGCTGAAGGCGAAGAGCATGTCCGATTTGCTGCCGCACTGAACTCTGAGACGAATTCTGCAAGTGCATTCGACTATGAGCAGGAACTGAAGCAATTACGATTCCAGCAGAAGAAGGATCGTCGAGATGCCGATGAGGTGTCACAGGTCATGATCACGGAGTGTCAGCAGCTGCTGTCGCTCTTCGGTTTGCCGTATGTTACCGCGCCCATGGAAGCTGAGGCCCAGTGTGCGGAGTTAGTTTCTTTAGGGCTCGTTGATGGCATTATCACTGATGATAGCGATTGCTTCTTATTCGGTGGCACACGGATATACAAGAATATGTTCAATCAGGGCAAGTTCGTCGAATGCTACCTGTCTTCTGACCTGGAGAAGGAATATGCCCTCCATCGCACCAAGCTGATCAGACTGGCCCATCTATTGGGCAGCGATTATACGGAAGGCATCCCCGGAATCGGCCCTGTGACCGCATTGGAGATTCTCACAGAATTTGCCGACTTGGAAGAGTTCAGCGATTGGTGGACACGAGTGCAGACGGGGGTCAATATGAGCGACAGCGAGCATGCTGCCTTTTACAAAAGGTTCAAGAAACAGGCTGCGAAGTTATTTTTGCCGCCATCCTTTCCTGATCCCCGGGTAGATATCGCTTACCTTGAGCCTGAGGTGGACTCCGACCCTTCACCTTTCCAATGGGGCGTGCCTGACCTGCACGGCTTACGCAACTTCTTGATGTCGACCGTTGGCTGGAGCCAAGAGCGGACGGATGAGATTCTCGTGCCTGTCATCCGTGACATGAACCGCAGAGAGCAGGAAGGCACTCAATCAAATATCACCAACTTCTTTACCGGACCGCAGGGTGCGGGCGCGTTCGCTCCTCGTGTCCGTACGGGCGGCCAGAGTCGAATGGAGAAGGCCTTCCGTCGCCTTCAACAGCAGGCTGGGACTGCTGCTGCACCCCACCCCTCCGACGGGGAGGGTGCTCCCACTGCTGATGTCTCGCCCGAGAACCAGCTCTCGTCTGCCAAAGAAGCGGGCACCAAACGGGGTGCGCGCAAAGCACGTGCTGTGGATCCGGAGCAGGTGGCTGATAAGGCTCAGACCACTAAGAAGAGGAAAACCCGCCGTGGGGCTAATTAGTGTGTAGCTCAATTCTGGGGAGGCGGTCGATCCTGTGGACTGAAATGGACTCCGTATGAATTTGTATATCTTCAAGAAATAAATGTGATTAATGCCTTGCTGCCTGGTGCTGCTACTTTTGAGGTCCGGCACTCTGGGGGTTTGCAGCGTTTGCAACACTTATACACCGATCATCGATCATCGATCATCGATCCTCGCTTCTTTCTTTCTTTCCTTTCTTCCAGGTACATACTCTCCCAGGAGGTGTGCTTCGGTTTTGAACCTTTATCTGAAATGATACCTACTCTTATTCTTCTTGCGCTCTTCTAACTATCAAGTATGCGGGCGCATCGGTTTCGATGTCACACCATCGCCATCTGCGATGATGCGATCCCGGGAGAATGTTGAAGTTGAATGGCTGGCCTGCAGGCAATCTACGTGACCTCAGAAATGGTGCAAATGGCGTGCAGATTGAGGTAGCCGCGGCGGTATCCATGGTCCACTGCCGGCTCTACCCCTCCCCCTCCCCCTCCCCTCACTGTCTACGAGGCCATTATATCAACGGAGGGGTCGACCACAGTCCCAGTTTACCCCCAACTATTCACTACAACCATATATCCTATAGAAGTATGGCAGCAGTCAAAGGTCCCCAAGCCATTCATACCGAACTGCCGATACGGAATGGCCACGATGGCGCTCTGCCGGCAAAGGAAGCTCTCACTCAAGCAGTGGAAACCACCAAGGCCGACGATCTCCAACGCCCAGCCTTCGAGATAGAAGAGCATCCAATTGACCAAGTCCGACCGATCAAAGTTGGCGTGATTGGAGCCGGCCTTGCCGGTATTACAGCGGGGATTCTTTTTCCAGCGAAGGTCCCCGGAGTAGATTTGCGGATCTATGAGAAGAATGCTGATGTGGTAAGTCACCTTTCCTACCAACTCATCCGGGAAGTCTAATAACGCGATCGGTGACAGGGAGGTACATGGTAGGTTTCCTCGAGGTTTATCATTCCTTGATCGCTGTTGCTAATAGATTAGGTTTGAAAATACATATCCCGGGGTTCGTTGCGACATTCCCGCGCACGTATATCAGTCCGGCTTTTCTCCAAACACACAATGGACGGAAGAGTTTGCACAAGGAGCGGAGATCAGATCGTATTGGCAAGGTCTCGCTAGGAAATATGACGTCTACAAGTATCTGCGCCTGCAGCAGAAGATCGAGCGTGCGGTCTGGCAGCCCGAGAAGGGGAAATGGCTGGTGACAATTCAAGATCTGAAGGATCAGCAGAACCCTAGGGTATGCTTTATCTACTTTCCATCGCAAAAAGGCAGATTCTAATGTCGCTAGTAGCGCTACGACGAAGAGCTCGATGTGCTGATCAACGCCATCGGCCACTTCAACGCGTGGAAGCTGCCTGACTACGAGGGCATCGACACATACGAAGGCACTCTCTTTCACTCCTCAAACTGGAACCACGAGGTCGATCTACAGGGAAAACGAGTTGCCCTTATCGGAAACGGAGCTTCAGGTCTGCAGGTCCTACCCTCCATCCAACCCATCGCACAACACGTAGACCACTACGCGCGCAATCGCACATGGGTCGCCGATTCCTTCGGCACGACAGGGGTTCGTCGCCTCGAGCCCAACCTCTTCTCCGAAGCACAACTGGAATCGTTCAAGGACCCCGACACCTATCTCCAATATCGCAAAAGCGTGGAAGAAGGCTACTTCTCACGCTTCGGAGCGGTCTTCAAGAACACACCGGAGAACCAGGAGCTCCGCGAGAAATGGACCACATTGATGCTTTCACGCATTGGGAAGGACTCCACCCTAGCCGACAAGATCATCCCCGACTTCCCGCCCAACTGCCGTCGCCCCACGCCGGGACCAGGCTACCTCGAGGCCCTGGGCCAAGAGAACGTCAGCTACATCCAGACGCCCATCCAGCGGTTCACGCCGACAGGCATCGTCACCACCGACGGGGTCGAGCGGCCCGTGGACATCGTCATCTGCGCGACGGGGGCGAACGTGGATCACGCGCCCCCGTTCTCGATCATCGCCAACAACGTCGACCTGAAGGAAGCATGGGCGCACGACGGCCTGTACGGCTTCCCCTACAACTACCTCGGCATGGCCACCCCGGGATTCCCGAACCTGCTGTGGATTGGTGGCCCCCATTCCACCGGCCAGGGGGGCAGCGTGCCGAACTGCCTGGAGAACCAGATCACGTACATCGCCAAGCTGCTGCGCAAGCTCCGCGCGCAGGGCATCAAGTCTCTGGCGCCGTCGAAGGCGGCCACGGATGACTTTGTCGAGTACTGTGATACCTTCTATCCGCGCACGGTGTGGACGGGCAACGATGACTCGACCCCCGGACAGAAGAACTGTCGCTCGTGGTATAACGGCGGTCGGCCGGGTGGCCGCATCCATGGCTTGTTTCCCGGCAGCGCGTCGCATTTGAACTACCTGCGGCGGGATCCTCGGTGGGAAGATTGGGAGTACACCTACACCAACCCGAGCGGAAATCGGTTCGCCTACTTCGGGAATGGGTGGACGCAGAGGGAACTCGAGACGGGGGCCGACTTGACGCCGCATCTGAACAGGCCGGATACGATTGACTTACGGACATATCTGGAGGGCTGGTGGGATGCTTAGAGGACTTCGATGTAGGTTGGGGGGAGTTTATAGCTCTAGAAGTGGATAGAGATCTACCGGACACACGTGAACTCATCAATTTCTGGCATAGATATCATCCGGCTGTGGTATGTAGATGATTTAGATAAGACTCCTTCTTGGGAGGCAAACTCAAACAACAATTGAAGTTAGATTTCAAATGGTCCTCAATAGACACATTCACAGAAAAACATAACATTTGTTTCCGTTGATCGAGTCGGGATCGTGGCGCTGGGTTTAGGACGTTTTCTCCTGAGAAATCGCCCTTCCTGGTACTTGGTGGCACAGTGCTGGTGGTGTATTGCGCTGGTGGCTATTGTGCGGGCTTTAACCGAATTATTATGAAAGAAGTTCTAGGCAGTGCGTCCTTTGTCCAGCTCGAATAATGGTTGATTGATATGTTGACTAAGAGAGTCCCTTAAGCCAAGCTGATGCCCAACAGCGGAAGACAAGTCGCTGCAGTATAAGGACAAACGTTTACCGAGGCCAACGAACGAGGTCAACGAACTGAGCCAGCAGTTCTTGTCTGGCATTTGATCTTCATGACTAGCTCAGCGCGTAACGACATTGATATTGTGCGCGCGACCATACGCGACGGCTTCATACAGAACATGTTCGCAGTACGCAACGTTCAGGTACTTCAGTCGCGGCAAAACCTCCGAGGACGACGACGCCGGATCGGCGAACGTCCTGACCAGACGCCCGGTGACATCGGTGGCCGAGACGTCCAAAGCGTACAGATGTGGCAGATGCCGAACCAGCGCTTTTACGCTCATGTCAGTGGCGCCGCGCAGAGCACAGATCCCGAGCTCGGTCAGGTCCACGGGATGTTCGGTGAAGATGCGCTCCAGCTGCGCATGATCGAGCCTCGGGCAGCTGGCCACGACGAGCTTCCGGATCGGCGCCTCGGCGGTGACGAGGAATTTACGGAGTGTGTTGTGGGTGACCCAGTCGAGGTCGCGGAGGATGAGGGTGTGCAGGTGTTGGAGGTGTGGAGATTGGTCGAAGGGGAAAGGGAACACTTGGCCAAGCGGGCAGGTGCCTGCGTGGATGCTGAGGTGCTCGAGGGTGGGGGGTAATGCGAAATTTCCGATGAAGACGCCTTTTAGTTCTAGTTTTCGTAGTTTGGGGAATTGGTTGGGGTCGAATGATAGCGTGTATGGGGACCAGATTTTGGGGTACGAGTCGATCCGGATTTCTTCGAGGTTGGGCATTGTGCAGGGTTGCGATGCCTGTCAGGGTTAGCCTGGTCCAATGCTGGAGACTTAATAAGCAGGAACAGGAAGTTTACGATTATGCGATACATACCGTTGCAGCCGGGAGATAGAGGGCAGCTACGCGACCTGGTGGTGGCACGGCTGCTCCTTCAGTAGCGAGGGTAATGCTCCGTAGGTTTGGGAGATGGGCGGGCCAGCGGACTTTGGTCTCAGGTGAAGGCTGCGCATTATGGATCTCTAGGCGCTCAAGATTGGTGAGGCTCGTCAAGAAATTGGCGATGTTCTCTTGTGATACAGGTGTTCCTTTAGCGATGACCAGAGTCTTCAATTGTTTGCAGCTCTTAAAATGGTCGTATAGTCCGTCATGACGCTGGATGGGATCGCCAATCTCCAGGCTCTCCAGCTTCGGACATCTACTGAGATAATCAAGCACTTTGCCATGAGAAGTAGTCGCTATGTTGGTCACCATAGCATGGGTAAGCATGGCACGCGAACGCTGAATGTATGTTCGGATGGAGCGCGATGTCGCTTTGCGACGGGCTTCGCTAAGATCAAGACGCATCCACAGATCCTGCAATGACAGAAATTGTTGCCATCCTTTGGACACGCGAGTACAGATCCTTAAAGCGTTGACTGTCAGTGATAACGATGACAGTAGACAGTTGTACTGCACTTACACAATTTCCCGGAAAGTCAGATGTTGAAGGACCATCATAGCTACCTCGAGCGGCAGGACACTGAAAGGATCAAGACGTTTGACTGCCGCAGCATCACGCACTTTGCAGTACATTTGGAGGACAAGCTAACCCACTTGAGTACACATCATCCCCTGGGGTAGATTACTTTCTACGGCAGGGTATTGACGTACCTTGCGACGCGGGTTATCACTGGACAGTGACTTCAGCCCGTAGCCGTATGCTTTCAAGGCCTTGGCACGATCACCAGTCAAGAGCAAGACTTGACCATAGCGTAGAATACCCTTTAGAAGCCCAGACTTAGCACTTGGTGGCAGCAATGTCAATGCGATACGAGGCAGAGCATACCCGTCCGTCCTTGGTGTCCTTCCGAACCATGTTTCGAGAATCGGTCAGAGCGCGGTCATACTGGGCAAGCTTGATATATGTAGCTGCTCGATTATCAAGTATGCTCATCACATCAGCCTTCTTACAAGAGAGAGCCTATGGAGCCAGATCAGTCAGTTTCCTGACCTTACCAACCGCGGAGGGCAAGCAGTACCTCGGTGAACGCATCCAGAGCACCTTGATAGTTACCCTGCTTGAAGAGCAACTGTCCTCGCTGCTGCAGGGAGTCTCCCTCGCTGCGAATGACCAGTGTCATAATGGCCAGGCGTTTGAGACAACATAGAAGAGTAGAAGCCGAATTGGGGAAAAGTAAGGAAAACGCGTGGACGACGCGCACGATAAGGAAAGTGGGGATACCTAAGTTAACGCCCGATAACTAACGTAAAGTGGCTGAGGTAAGCAGAGCTGCGGGAATGGCTGTTATTGCCGGCCGGAGAGGCCCACCGGGGCGGTGGGACGATGGGACGATGGGACGATGGGCGGTGAGCGGTGGGCGGTGGACGGTGTTTACATTCTTCCTGTTTTGGGGGGGTTCCGTCCGCGACAGAAAAATAACAGTCGGGCAAACCAAAAGAAAAGACGACGGTTCGATTCAGCTTCGTTCAGAGCAGTTTTCTCTGCATAGCACCTGCGTGCCACTAAGCTTGCTGGCAAGCCATGGAGCCACAGAATCTGCAGGCTGCATCCACCTACATCAACAATGTACTATTGGCCAGGGGTCTGTTGAAAAGCGGCCGCCCCATCGAATTCGCCAATCCCGAGGATGAAGATGGAGGCTCCGCAGCCACCATGGGCAGGATCATCAATTTGGTCAATGACTTGGTCCTGCGCAGAGATGTATGTGATTGGACTGGCTCTCACCGGTTAGCAATTGGCTGACAGTCCTGCAGCGCGAAGCCGAACACCGCGAGAGCCTCGCAACTACGATCAGGACTCTGCGAGCGGAGGAGTCTCAGAGAACTGCGGAACTGGTACGAGACATAATACGTTTAGCGGACCCCGGATGTGCTTGATGCTGATGACTCGAAACAGGACAAGTTCAAGGCGAAGGCATCCGAACTCACACGATCGTTGGCTTTGGCTGAGGCGCAAGAACGATCCTTGAAGGCCACCATTTCAGGGGCTGAGGCGACTATCCGAGGACTGAAGGAGCAAGTGCAGCGAATGAGAGCCACCATCCAGCAAGTTAGAGCTCAATGCGCCAATGACATTCGCAAGCGCGACTCCGAGATGCAGAAGCTCAAGATGCACCTGGCAGAGCGACAACGAGGAAGGAGGGATGGACTGACAGTCACAACCATCAATATCAACCCGACCACCGGCCAGCGTCCGCGTCCAAGATCTATCGCTGGTGGCGAAGGTCTGAGCGATCCCGGTTATAGCCTGAAGCAAGAAACCAACGACTTCTTGACCGAGCTCTGCCAGAATTTGAGCGACGAGAATGACACCCTTATCAACCTAGCCCGAAAAACAGTCGAGACTCTCAAGGATTTGCAGGGCTTGTCGTCTACAGAGGAGGAGGAAGGCGGTCTCGCCGGCACGATGAGCCTCAGGGCTCCTAGGTTGTCCCATGGCTCGGTCACTAGTCTTCCGGCCTCGTGCGACGAGCTATCCGCCCAGATGGACCGCGTACTCGATCATCTCCGAACTTTGCTCACCAATCCTTCATTCGTACCGCTTGAGGAGGTCGAAGTGCGCGACGAAGAAATAAAACGTCTCCGCGAAGGCTGGGAGAAGATGGAGGGCAGATGGAGTCAGGCGCTGACGATGATGGATGGGTGGCACAGGCGCATTGCTGATGGAGGACACTCAGTGCAGGCGGAGGAGCTCCGTCGGGGAATGAGTCTCAATTTCCGCTTGGATGCAACTCTGAGACAAGACGAAGAAGAAGAAGATAACGATCAGGCGGCCATGCAGTCACCTGTCCTCGAGGATCGGCCGGCTAAGGAAGAAGAAAAAGAGGAGAAAAAAGCACCATCCGCCTCCAGCAAGACTAATCGCGCCTTGTCTGATCGAAAGATCAAGCCACCGTCAGGAGAAATCAAAGTGAAGAAGAACAACAAAGCTTTGAAGGAGAAAAGCGACAATATCATGACAGGACGATCGCCTCGAAAGGTTTCATTCACGCCCGGGCTTCAGAATTCACCCAATACTGTCTCGCAACCCGAAGATGAAACCGCCCCAGTAAAAGCTCACCGCTCTAAGATGGTGACGCGCAGGACAGCCAAGGAAAAGACCGAGTCTAAGGTTGCTTCTCCTCAAGTAAGTCAGCGTCTTGCCTGTGATCGAAAACATCATTCTAACACAAAAACCAGAGCTCCAATCCAACGCGAATGAGTGTGCCACAGAAGCTAGCCGCAGTAGAAAACGAGGCTCGGGCTGCCGAGCAAACACGTAAGGAGAACGAGAGCCGCAAACGCAGCCGGAATCTCAAGGGTTCTAGCAAAGCGCAACGTGACCGGCGCAGAAGCACACTGACCAGTGATGAACTCGGAGAGCTGCTGGGAATGCCTTCGAGATGAGCTTACGGCTGACTGCAATGTCCGATGATGAAACTGTTCGATACCCCTGTCTACTGTCTGAGTGTATATCATTCTTTGTTTACTTTTTTGGTGCGCGGTGCGCAAGCGCTGAGCCCCTATACGAGGTCATGATTCTCAGGTGTCTTCTGAGCAGTATACTAATTAGTCAATTCACATTATCCAAATAATCCTGCGATGTCATAAGCATTCCGCGACATTTTGGTGTAGGATGTAGTAGTAATTCTTCCGCCTCTTGATTCGTCTGTAAGTGATGCAAGAGGCAATTGTTGGGTTGGGATGGGAAGAAGTTAGCTCAACCTGGAAGTGGATGAGGCGGCACATCTGTATGATGGAGGGCCTTTTGCACTAGGAAGAAACCCCGTGATTCTTATGTATCAAATTTCAGAAAGCCGGAATCAACATAATTCATTTATTATTCGAGTCCACTAACAGACACCTTTGTAATTACCAGCTCGAACGGGCATCATTCAAAAGAAGTAGATATACTGGCCGTCTCAGGAAAATCGTTTCGCTATGTAATTAATTATGCGCTCCGCTCGGATCAATATCGCTCCAACAGCCACTGTCTCCGTGTATCTTCGTCCATTGAATCCAACTTCTTCTTCTCTGCGCGTTTGACGAGAAGGTAGTTCTCGACTAGGGTTGCACCAAGAATGTCCTGCAACGCAGTATCCGCTTCCAGATGATCAAGGCTCTGAGAAAGCGACTTTGGCAGTTGGGTAGTGATACCATAAGATTGACGGCCCGCTTCATCCAATGTTGCAGCGTCATCTGTCCTAAGTCAGTAAGAGTGAAACGCAAAGGCAGATTCTGGCAGCGAGAGCCACAATTCAAGATACTCACATGGACAATCAGAAGCCGTCAACGGTTCATTGTTCTTCAAGCCAAGGTAGCCCGCAGCCAAAAATGCCGACATGGCTATATACATATTTGCGAGTCCGTCCAAGGTCTTAATCTCCCAGTGCCCTGCGGAGATTTTTCGGATCGGGGTCTCGCGGTTCTGGGTACCCCAAGTAACCCACTCGCTTCCGGCCCATAGACCAGAGCAGACCCGATCGTAACTAACCTCTCCGGCGAGAGCAACGGCCATCAGGGCTGGGTAGTGTTGGAGAATACCTGCAAGAAAGCTATCTTCCTTCGTGGATGGGGTGATAGAAAGGTGCGCGTGAGAAGCTGTGCCAGCAGCATGAGGATAAGGACGGGGATGCAACGTCGCGCGAAGACCATGTTGTTCAGCAACCTGAATTACTACCTGCCGTGCTTTCAGAAGGGTATCAACCGCCGCCACAGGTGACCCAGGCGGAAGGACAAATTCAAATTGACCTGGGGCGGATTCGGCGTGGAATTGTTGGAGGTCAATGCCGATAGACGCAAGAGTCTCGGCAATCTCTTCGAGTAAAGGTACCATGCGCCTGGTCTCTCTGGTCATTTGCGACCAAGAATGATTTTTCACACACGGAACGAATTCCTCCTCTTTGGTATCGGGGTTTATAATGCATTTCATAAACACAACTTCGATCTCAAAGCCGCAAAGGACTTGAATACCATGTTCAATCTGCAGCTGGGCGGTCACATTTTGCAGAAGGCTTCGAGGGCATCCCGGCAAAGGTGTGCCTTCCTCTGTAAACCACCAGCTCATAACGGTTGCACTTTTGGAGTCCAGCCCTACATTGCGGGAAAGTGTAGATAAATCCGGCTGCATGTAGAACTGGCCAGTTGTAGAGCCTTCGGGGCATACTGAGTCGTTCTGAAGCATCTGCTGAGTGGCTAGACAGACTCCAATGCGACGTTGGTTGCGTACGATCTTGGTAAATTCCTGCACCGGAAAAATGCGTAGGCGTAACGTCGCGGTGTAATCGAAGAACTGCAGCCATATGTACTTCACATCCGGATTGTTTCGTACAAAGCACTCCCACTCATCGCTTGATGATCCCTGTAAAGGCCGAGACAAATGCTTCTGTGTCTCGTCGTAAGCTGCAGTCTCGTTCAACATGTAAAGGCGATTCGAGTTCTGGAAAAGAATATCTGCGGCTGCGGCCTTAGCCTGGTCAATGGCGAAATCACCTTGACGGACATAGTCCACAAGAACCTAAAATGGGTAAGCTCACAACGTCAATAAATCATAGGCAATTCGTACGAACCTTCTCTAGTGCATCGCGGAATTGCTTGTTAGCAAGCCAGTACGTCTCCGGATAAAAGTGGCCGTCAGTGCTCCACAGGAGCCGGTTGGTCGGCACTATTTCCAAACTCTCTCTGATTATAGACTCTTGAGCATCCCGACTCACCATCGGAAACACTTCTCCTAGATCCAAATAGACATTAGGGAACACGCATGCAAGGTAACCTGCCTCGCGGGTGTAGGGGTAAGAAGAGTGTAACAAAACAAAGTCCACCTTGGGATATCGAGCAATTAGATCTTGTAGGTAGGCGGGGTTTGAAAGGATCAAGTTGATATCATTATCACCCAGTCCAGTGTGAAGTTGCAGTGGTTTATTAGGGCCTGAAGGTGTTGTGGTACGGGCGACTTGGACTAAGTCCAGAGTCTGCCGAACCACCCAGTCGTTCAAGGGCTTGTCTTCGATACGGTACGAGGAACCACTCCCTTGCTGGATTGTTCGGGCAAAAGACTGCAGTAAACGGCTGTCATCACCCTCGTCATCAGCGGATTGAACGTTCAAGCCAGTTCGATAGCAGACGACAGATTTGAACCCCACTACAACGGGGTCTGCAATAGCCTTCTCGATATGTTGATGAAAGCTTTCACGGAATCGATCAAAGGTCTCTCTCAAATTGGTCACGTCATCCAGGGACTCCAAGTATCCTTCTGGGAGAATGGAGGCGAGGACCTGGGCGGCCACCACCTCAATCCGTACAATTCGCTTAGTCGGAGCTGCAGTGAAGCGATCATGCCAGTCAAACGGCTCAATATCCTCGTCAGTCAGAAGATCATCCAGGAGAAGGCTATGCGTTCCTTCGAGGCAGCGACGGATCAAGTCATCATAATCGCGCTCTACCCATTTATCTCGAGCCGCCTTGACGCTGTCCCAATCATTAGTGGGACAGTCATACAGGCTTGCAAGTTGATGAGCAGCCCGTTGGAGCGGCAACGTAAGAGGCGCATTCTCTAAAGCAATGCCTTGTGCTTCTGAGGTGATCTGCTCGAAAGCGTACTTTGCATAATTGCACGCATTGGACTTGTTGAGGAGATTATGAGCATGGTTATCGATGAGAGGATGGGTTTGGACCAGCTGCCGGAGGGAGGTAAGCGGATCCATGGTGCATGGGATTTGGTTGGCCCGTTCGGTCGATCAATCGCTAATGGCTGCGCGGCACTCGGCAGTAGCCGGAGGGTTGAAACAGGGAGGCGGGCACCGTCTATAAGAGGAAGGGGGAAAGAAGAAAGGAAAGGATTATTAATGAGTATATTTGCAAGAGGTATGATGAAAGTTGGAGAGACAGAGTAAAGAGCTGAGCAGGAGAATATGGATGTGGATGTGGATGTGGATGATAGAAATAGAAAGTAGTCAGAGGATACTCCGACAAAGTGGAAGACAAGGGATGGGAAGAGGGAAAGGCGATGATTACCCTTTTAGGCAGTTCGCCAGCTCCCGCCGACCGAGCGTTCGCATTGATTACGGTGAAAAAATATATCAGGTAGGCTCCGTAGTCAAGTAAGAGACATCGGAATGATGTCCGTCCCCTTTCTTTTTCGACAGCTTCAAATCCAGCATCTTTGTCGACGATGAGTTGTGAAAAAGGTAATCTCCGCGCGTAATGGCAATCAACCTTATACCTCGGTTGAAGCGCAAGTAGGAAATCTATACGACCTCTGCTCGTCAACCATACGCAATCCGGTATCTTCCACGACCACCAGCGGAGCTATAGCTCCACCAGTCGATCTACTCTTGTATTGTATATAGGTCTAATAACTACTTCACTGTCCATGTCACCGGATGTTGGTTCTGGTGCCAACTTCCGGTGCACAACTCCTAAGAGTATTTCCGTCCAGCGCAACCGAGTCATCATTAGTCGCTCCGTGCTATCCCGGTGTATATGCGACGCCTTTGAAAACGCCATAGCTCTGCCATTAGCGTTACGGTCTTGTTCTAAGCGAAGAGATCTGGGCCTTTGATGCAGGCATGGCGCCGACTACACCCGATGTAATCTGTTTCCCTAACTAACTGGTCATTCTCTCGAGCAGAGATACGAGAGGAGTCGAGCAAAAAGAAGAGAGGAACTGTCTCATCTGGGTATGTCCGCTGGCCAAATAGCATGATTACCCGGGATTTAGTGGTTATGCCACCCAATAGCCCGAGCTGAAACGTGCTATGGGGCTCCAGTCAGTGTCTCGGAAGACTACAGAGCTGGAGGAAAGCCATGAAGCTGCCATTCACAGTTCACACAGCTCTCGAGCGGGGCTGTCAGACCTGAGTGAGCTGTACTGGAGTATAGTCTGTGCGTTCGCAACTCAGCCACAATCTGGTGAAATCTCTTGTCTGACGAGTGAAAGAAACACGTAGTGTGTATCCTGAAAATCGATAGTGATGGCTGAGATAGAGTCCACTGGGTTGAAAAAGTCCATGCTTTCACACCAACGGCTCACACGGAAACACGGCCCGAGGATCGGCATGCCGAAGGAACAAGCTCTCCCTCCTCACAGGCTCACCGAGCTCGTTAGTCTCGGCCGACCCATACCGAGCCCAGAAGCCGTTGTCAACCTTCTGGATCACCAACACAGTATCCAAATACCGGAGAGGATCGATAAACGACAATGATGATATCGAAAAGAAGATCTTACTTCTGGTCATGTGCTTGCAGGTCGATCACCGATGAGTATTAGGTCATCTGCGCAAACAAAGCAAACTCAACTCACAGATTGCGGCGGCTATCCCCGGTGTCCATGTGACGTCGAGGCCGAAGCCAACCGCCTTCTCCGCATTCCCCAGGAATTCCAGGGAGACTGGATAGATAGCAGCTGCCCGTACATGCCAGAGGATCTCTTTTTCTATCACAGCATCATTGTGCGATTTCAGCACTGCATAGAGATACATCATGGTCCTCAGCATTCCTCGTTCGTTGAGTCGCTTTTATGCACGTTTACCGGTGATATCTCAGCGATGGGGTAGCTCTATATCGCAGCGTCCGGG